AGATTCATCCTGGAGAGGGTTAAACCAGGCTGCTCCTTGGAGGCAAGGATTCTGAAGCACCATCTGACATACTTTGGACATGTTGCAAGGAGAGACCAGTCCTTGGAGAGGGACGTCATGCTTGGGAAGGTGGAGGGACACTGCAGGAGAGGAAGATCTTCAGTGATTTGGATTGATTCAATTACTGGGGTAATGGTGGTAGGTGTGTCAGAGACAATAAGATTGGCACAGGAGAGAGAAGGGTTTAGGGCTGTTGTACATAGGGTTGCTATGAGTCACAGGTGACTGACTCGAAGGCACATAACAACAACAACAACAACAATAACATTTATATTGTGGTATAATCTGCCAAATTTACACATGAGTATGGAGCTAGTATTTTCTCTGCCCATTTCTGTGCCTTTTGTCTGACTCTAATATACCCACTTGTACCTTAAAGTTGGCTGTTATTGATAATGTACGGTTGGGTATGCAATGGTCTAACAGTTGTGCAGCTCTCTGTGTCTTCCTTTTCTTTAGTAACATGACGCTCATCACCCCTTATTTTATGTAGCCTTTCCCATCACTCAAGTTTGCCTCTATTATCTAATTACTGATTTGACTTTCCTTCCTGTTCTCCACTCCCACCCTTAACAACCATCAAAGAATGTTTCATTCTGTTTGTATACTTTTCCTTGCTGTTACTACAAAGATTCTCACCACTGGACCAGTTGGCAGCATCAGGATGGATGGTGAAGAGATTGAGATTGTTCACAGCTTTAGTCTGCATAGCTCCACAGTCAACACTCTTGGCACCAGTAGCCAGGAAATTAAAAGGTGTATTGCAATGGGAAAGTCTGCTGTTAGGGACCTCTCCAAAGTGCTGAAGAGCAGTGGTGTCTCTCTGGAGACTAAGGTGCGTCTGATACAGGCCATGGTCTTTGCTATCACTTGTTATGCATCAGAGATTTGGACAATGGCTAAGGAGGATAGAAGGAGAATTGATGCCTTTGAGCTGTGGTGCTGGAGAGGAGTATTGAGGGTACCATGGACTGCTAGGAAAACAAACAGATTCATCCTGGAAAAGGTTAAACCAGGTGTCTCCTTGGAGGCAAGGATTCTGAGGCTCCGTCTAACATACTTTGGACATGTTGTAAGGAAAGACCGGTCCTTGGAGAAGGACATCATGCTTGGGAGGGTGGAGGGATAGCGCAGGAAGGGAAGGCCCTCTATGAGGTGGATTGATTCAGTGACTGGGGTAATTAGGATGGGAATGTTAGAGACAGTGCAATTGGCACAGGACAGAGCAGAGTTTAGGGCTGTTGCACATAGGGTCGCTATGAGTTGCAAGCGATTCGACGGCACATAACAACAACAACAATATCAGGATTGGAAGAAGACTGCTCTATGCAGATGACACAACTTTGCTTGCTGAAAGTGAAGAGAACTTGAAGGGTTTGCTGCAGAAGTTTAAGGATTACAGTCTTTATAATGGATTATATCTCAACATCAAGAACCCAAAAATGCACACCACTAGGTTAATAGGCAACATCGTAATAGATGGAGAGAAGACAGAAGTTGTCATCTAATTCATGTTGCTTATATCCATAAAAACACCCTTGGCACCAGCAGTCAAGAAATCAAAAGAGGTATTCTTGTTGTTATATGCCATCAAGCCACCTGCAACTTATAGCAACCACTATGTACAATATAGCTGTAAGCCCTGTCCTATCCTAAGCCAATCTCATTGTCTCTGACACACCTACCCCAATTACTTCAGTTACTGTGTCAGTCCATCTCATCTGGGGTTTTCCTTTCCTGTGCTGTCCCTCCACCCTTCCAAGCATGATATCCTGCTTCAAGGACTGGTCCCTCCTGGCAACATGCCCCAAAGTAGGTGAGACAGAGTTTCAAACTCCTTGCCCCCAGGGAGTAGCATGGTTTCACCCTCTCCGGAACAGACCTGTTTGTTTTCTTGGCAGTCCATGGTATGTTCAATCCTGTTTTTGAGCTCCATAACTCAAAGGCATTAATTCATCTTCTGTGATCCTTAGTCATTGTCCAGCTCTCTGCTGCATAGCAAGTAATTGCAAAGACCATGACCTGGATCCGAATGGTTGGAACCCACTAAAGCCTCCAAAGGAGAAAACAGGCAGCCTCCTCCCCATGTGATGTCCATCCTTGGAAACCCACCAGAGAGGGTCAGCTATGAGTTGATTTAGACCTGATTGGGCGCCGGTGGGGTGGAGGGGAGGGGAGAGAAGAGAGGGAAGAGAGAGAGAGATGGAGAGAGAGAAATTTCTGTTTCCAACTTTTTCAGGCGGTGCTATTTTTCCACAGTGGTTGCACCATTTTACAGTCCCCCCAGCAGTGTGTGCCACCCTTACCTTCTCTGAAACACTCAAGCCCATTGCTGAATTCACTGCGTCAACTCATCTCATTTGGGTCTCCCTCTTCTCCACTGACTACCCCCTGATATTTCCAAGAATGTGTCCCTTTCCAATGTAGCCTCACCTAGCTACATGTCCAAAGTATGAAAGATGAAGCTTTGCCATCTTTGTCTCCAAGGAGAACTCTGGTTGCATCCTCCCCAAGACATATTTATTTGTTCTGTTGGCAATCCATGGACTATTCAGTCCTCTTCTCCAGCACCACAACTCAGAGGCATCTCTGCTTCTTCTTCTTCTGTCATCCTTACTCATTGTACAGCTCTCCTATTGGTAGCAGGTGACTGAGAAGACCATGACCTGAATTAGGTGCATCTTAGTCTTCAAACTGATATCATTGCTCTTCAGTACTCTGGCTCATGGAGAACCATAAATCCATTTTCAACTTGAAGAATGGTCTGGACCCTGAAAAGACATTTAGCAGGACAGGCAGGAAGCTGGGAAATCAATGCAAAATAAGAGAAAATTATGTAGGCATGCACCCCCAAGGGAAGTGCTTACTCAGAGCCCAAGTCACAGAATGAAATGAAGAACAAAGTCTAAAACGAATTCGAGTCATAGTGCTTAATATTTTCAGATTAAAAAAAACACATTTGTGGAGATCATGAAGACTTTACATGTATTATATATTAATACATATTTAATCTTTTTCTAAGTGAGGGGAAAAGTGCCTCTTTAAAAAGGAAAATCAGTATGCAGTAATCATTACATTCCAGACTGATCCTAGGAACGCCTAAGGCCTACTGGTCTCTGTTCAGAGCACATAAAGCTTTCAACCAAAACTAAACAGAAAACAGGCCTACTTCCAGGAACTATTGCCAGGAGTTCAAAACTTCTATTAGAAAATTCCTGGCATTGTTGTTTGAGGGAGGTGAAGGTTGGTTGACAAATCCGTAGTCATTTCTAATCTACAACAGTCTCGAATGTTCAAAATCCCTAGCTCTAAAAAAGATGCAAATCGAAACAACTATGAGATATCATCTCACCGAGTAAGAATAGCAAAATTTAACAGAACAGCAAACATCAAATGCTGGTGAGGTTGTGGAGAAACTGGAACCCTTATTAACTGTTGGTGGGAGTGTAAAATGGTGCAACCACTATGGAAGGCTGTACGGTGCTTTCTCGAAAAGTTACAAATAAAATATCATTTAACCCAACAATTCCACTACTAGGAATATACCCTACAGAACCACCCAAGCAGATACATGCACACTCATGTTTATTGTGGCTTTGTTCACAATAGCAAAGAGTTGGAAACAACCCAAGTGCCCATCAACAAACGAATGGATAGAGAAGCTCTGGTACAGTCACACAATGGAATACTATGAATACTATGCTGTACTGAAAAATAAAGAACTCATGAAAGAGTATACAAAATGAGTGACCGTGGAGGACAGGCTGAGTGAAATATCTCAGTCACAAAAGGACAAATATTGAGTAATGCCACTGTTGTAAAACAGGACTGACATCAGGGTTGTGAGAAACTGAGAGGGGATAAACATACACTGCATTGAAACAGATGAGGGAGAGAACTGCTTAAAAGAAATATATGTTTGGGTATTATCTGCATGACAAGAGTCCAGAATAAGAGCTGCATAGTAAAGTGGACAGGTGGTGGATTATAACAGTGAAAGAATTTTTCTTTTACTTTACAAAGAGAAGAGCGAATTGGGGCAGGGTGGGGAGAAGGGGTGGGCAAGGAGAAAAGTGCAATAATGAATGAAAGAAAATCCTAAGTCTGTAAATTTTCATTAAAATTATTTATTTATTAAAAAGGAAGCTAAACAAGATCTAAAAAAAAAAAAAAAAGAGTCATCTGTGACTGGTTGGAATCCCCCTAACACAGACAGGATGGTGGCGCTTGGAGGGCTGAGACCATTACCCGATTGATTACCATACTTTTGTAAAAAGTTAACAATTCAAGTTCAACGTTAACAAGTCACCAAATGAAAACTAGCTACTGAAGGATCTTTGTCACAGTTTTATTTAAAGATAGGCCTTTTGAAACCAAAAGACCAATATTAATAGTTGACCCAATGAAAACTAGCTACTGAATGATCTTTGTCACAGTCATATCTCTTTTTTTAACCCCTCAGCTTCTCAGCGCCAGAAAGGTGGGCAGTCTTCTACCATCATGATTTACAGCCTCAGAAAGCTCAGTGGAGGAAGGGTTGGTATGAGTCTGAATCGACTTGACTACCTTTACTCCAATTAATATCAATTTATTCCTTCCAATTAACACCAGTTCAGCACAGCCAGTTTGAGCAGATGGACGTTCGCCTGCCCCACCTGCACCCGCGTCACGTGGAGAGGATGCTGACGCCCCTTTCCAGGAGGGGAGCCAGGACTCCAGTCCCCGCCCGCGGCCTGTAGCCCCGCCCATAGGCTGCTGGTCCCGCCCACCTCGCGGCCCCGCCCACCGGCGCTCACTCCCCGCGGCGGCGGAATCGCGGAGGCCGGGGGCGGGACTCACCCCACGCCCTCGGGGGTCTCCCGGGCTCGACCAATCAGCGAGCGCCCTGTTGGCCGTCCGCGTCGCCCGCGCCCCTCCCCCTCCCGCCGGCCTGCGCGTGCCACAGTCCAAGATGGCGGTCTGCAGGCGGACAGGCGCCCCGGGCCGCGTTCGTCCGCTGCTCTGCGCTCTGCTGCTGTCCGTCAGCCGCTTCGCCGGCGCGGGAGGGGACGCCGGGGCCGCGGGCACGGCCTCCCCGCTGCCGCATCGCCGCTTCGAGTACAAGTTCAGCTTCAAGGGGCCGCACCTGGTGCAGAGCGACGGGACCGTGCCCTTCTGGGCCCACGCGGGGAGTAAGCCGGGCGCGGGCCGGGGCCCCTCTCCGCCGCCTCCCCGCCGCCGCGCGCCACGTGCCCGGGGGTCCCGCTTCGCACCCCGTCTTCCCGGCCCCCCGATGGCGCCCCACCCGACCCCGGCCTCCCTCTGACCCCGTGGGATCTGGAGGGCTTGTGTCACTTCTCCCCTTCTGTGCTCGCCCACGCCGCCCTGGGCATCATCACCTTTCACCCCGATGCCACGTCCCCAGGGGACCCGGCCGCCACCCCCGCCGCGCGCCTGCAGCCAGCGCGAGCAGCCCCTGGTCCCCGATCCCCCTGCCCTCGGTCTCCCTGCCCCCGGTCCCCGTACCCTCGGCCCCGATCCCCCCTACTCCCTTACCCCCTGCCCCCTGTTCCTCTACCCCCTTACCCCCTGCCCCCGGTCCGCCTGCCCCCCTTGCCCCCTACCCGGCTGCTGGCGCCCTGGGGTGCCCCCTGCCCCTGCTACCAACCATCTTGGGGTGTCCCCTGCCAGCCCCGTCAGTAACATATGTTGGGGGTCATTTTAATATCCCACCTGCTTCCTTCTAACCTTTTGGGACCTGGGCCTAAATCTGCCCTTTGGTGACTTGGTGCACACTTTGATCTCTTACAGTAACTCATCAGGTGACATTATGGTCATGTTCACCCCATTGTCAGGGAGAGGACTGTGTTGGTTTTGAGTTTGTTGTTTCCTGAACACTCAGGCCAAGACTGGCATTGACACCTACACACACACACACACACTCACACTCTTTAAAGAAAGTGACATAAGCTGTGCTCCAGGCTGTTACTCTTCTGCGTGCTGGGCCCATATGTAGTTAAGAGATTTGGGGGAACACGGTAAAGCAAATCCCTGTAGTGTGCAGTGCTGATGTGTTAATGCTGACTAAGGGTTCAGCCACAAACACTTGGCATGTTATAACCTGTGTTCTGTGACCTTTGGGACAAGTGGCAAATGCCTTCAGGTTGTTCCTCATTGCCATTGAATTCATTCCAAGGCATGGCAGACAACTCCCCCCACCCCCCATTCTTTATGGGGACTCTTGTAAGTCCATCTACATTGCACATCGTTGTAGATTGCCCTGTCTGTGAACCAGACTGCTCTCTTTCAAGGAATGGCCCTGTTGGGAAAGGCTGTTTCACTGAAATTAGCATGTAATTAAAAGGTACAAATTCTCTTTGAACTTAATAACCAGGTCATTAAGTATTTGAAGTGGGGTGCAACTGTTTCATAACTGAGCAGACACTAGTGTGTGCCTGCTTGCTGGAAGAATATTTGAAGGCATTTGTTACCAAGTAACAATGCTCCTCATACACAGAAGATGATGTTGATTCTAAATGCAAGTTTGTGGTTTTATTGTTTTCACAGAGGCTGATGAATTTGTTTATGCCTTTTCCCTTCTGCACCTCTCCATTGCCAAGGAAGTCTTAACTCAGCTACTTGAATCAGTTAACCTTGGTTTTCCTGACAGAACCTATAACAAACCAAGCTGGTCTTATGCAGAAACATTAGGACAGCTTGCACTGGTGATACAAAATTTCAAGGCTAGAGAGAATTGTGAACTAAGGGATTAATATGACAGTGGTATTGAGTTGTAAGCTTCTTCCCTCTATCCTGGAGAGACCTGAGTTCAGTTCCTGGCAGTGATGCTGGTTTGTTGCTGTGATGCTAAACAGATTTTAGTGGAACTTCCAGGCTAAGACAAACTGGGAAGAAAGGGCTGGCAGCCTTTCTGAAAATCAGCCAGAAAGATCTTCACTTCAAGTCTGATCTTGTACAGTGTGGAGTTGCTGTGTGTCAGGGGTCAGCTTGATGGCGGCTAGCAAATCATTTTAGCTGAATTCACGTGTCTCCTTTTATTGTCACCATACATTTTTCAGTCTTATGATTATCTTTATTGATCATTTTTCCCTTTTCATTTTGACCTAATACCTACTACTAAAAAAGTTGAGAAATGGAATGATGCTTATCTACTTTAAACATCACACTCTACCCTCTATTTTTGTCTCAAATTAAGACCAAATCTATGATGTTTCTTAGCTCATTTAATGCTCATTAATACATTTGGTATTGTCAGTATAGGTCCTTAGGTCCATAAGGGCAAAAATGATAACAATATATCATCCTTGATAGCTTTCAGAGTTCTTTGACCTTTAATACCTTATTTGCTCTTAACTACGCAAGTCCTGGTGGTTCATCGATCATGAGTTGGGCTACTGCAGAAAGGTCGGTGATTCAAAGTCACCAGCTGTTTTGGTGAAAGATGAGGCCATCCCCTTCCAAAGAGATTTAGAGACTTGGAAAGGACACCCACCTTGTTTCTGTGGAGTTGGGACTGGCTCATAGCTGGCCCCTCCACCGGGTCCTGAGGCTGTAAATTGCAGGAGAGGATTGCTCACTTTGGCCCGGTTGGGGGGGGGGGAACGGGGACACGGACGACTCACACTGGCAGTGAGCATGGCCTTCAGTAGTCAGGTTAGCTGCACACGTCCTTGGGGACTAGGCTACCATGTCCCCTTGGTAAACTTTGAAGCAGTTCTAATCTGTCCTATTGGACCATTGTGATTTCAGATCCACTTGATTGTAGTGAGAAGCAAGTTATCTTTTTTTAGGTTGAAAACTGATGTTCAAAAGGAAAACTTAAGGTTCTTGGAGAAGGTGTGTTGTCAGGTGTCATCTAGTCTGTTCTGACACGTGGGAACCTCTTGACTGAGAATGTGCTGATAGTCGCGTCAGTAGATTAGAACTTGGATCTGGGACGCTCTGTCCTTGACGCACTGCTGTCTCTTTCCATCAGTGAAAATGATCACAGACAGTGGCTAATTTGACTACAGTGTCTCGACTTTTCTTTTTTGGGTCAGTTTTCCTACCTGTAAACAGATACTGTTATTTTTTTTGTTTGGTACCATCAAGTCAGTTCCAACTCAGAGCAACCTTTTGTATAACTTAACAGAACAGTGCGGATCCTCACCAGCTGCCCTGTCCTGTGCTGTCGTCTTGGCTGTTGTTACCCATTGTTAAGCCGCTCTGTCAGTCCATCTCACTGGAGGTTTTCTTTTTGCAAACCCCTCACCAAGCTTGAGGTCCTTTTCCAGGGACGGGCCCTTCCTGGTAATGTACCCTAAATGCATGAGGCTAAGTCTCTTCATCCTCACTTCTGAGGTGCATTCGGGCTGTAATTCTTCCAAGACTAATTTGCTCATCCTTCTGAAAGCCCATAGTGTACTTAATATGCTCTGTCAACACCATAATTCAAAAGTACTCTTCCTTTGCCATTTATTTTGAGGCAATTAGAGTATCTTGGCTTAAATTAGACACACTTTAGTCCTCACAGAGGCATCTTTGCCTTTTAACACTTCAAAGAGGCACATTGCTACAGATCTGCTTAATGCAGTACATCTTTCCTTAACTGCTTTTTCTATGAATGTTGGTAGTAGATCCATGTAAAGTGAGATCTTTGACGTCCACCTTTGTATCATGATCCCGCTTGTTGATCCATCTATGTGAATAGTCATTTTCTTCATGTTGATGTGTAATCGTAGTGAATGAAGGCTGTAGTCTTTGATTTTCATTAGGAAATGTTTCAAGTTTTCTTAGCTTTCAGCAAGAAAAGTTGTATCATCTGCATGTCCCAGGTTATTAGGAGTCTTCCTGCATTCCTTGATAACGCAGTTGTTTATTTCTCAGCCTTGATACTGTTACTGTTGTTTGCTATCAGCAGTTTTCAGAGGTAGTAAATTGCGTGTGAAGAGATTTTTCCATCCTTCTGCAGAACAGTTGGTAGATTCAAAACTTGTGCCTTTGGCATTGCAGTGTAGCTTCTTATCACCAGGCTACGTGAGCTCCCTAGTGTTGATACAAGAGCTGGTTAATATCTGAGAGAACGTGCTAGAACTACTCACATTTTTTAGGAATGATAAATATTTTAATGATGGCATATATAGTGCATTAATAGGAAGAAACATTTATGTGTACTTTTCTTGTCTGGATTCAGATATAACTGTGATTGTGAAGATGATATAGAACTGAGTTATGCTTTATTCTACTTTACGTAGGATCGCTGTAAGTCAGGCCCTATTGGATAATACCTAACAATACAGCGTGTTACTGTTGTGTGCACCATCAGAAAACGCCCCATAGCTGACCCTCCTGGGGTTTTCAGAGGCAGTATATTGCACGGAAGGATCCTCATGCCTTTGAGATTACAGAACACTTCTTACCACTGGGTCACAGAGTTCCCTAACAACAACACAGTGACACTTAAGTGCTTGTGAGCTTGGTAGGAGGCTTAGAGAAATGAACTAGCTGGTCTAACATCACACAGCTAGTAAGTAGTGGAGCTGAGACTGGAGCCTAAACTGGATAGAAAACCTCCCCTTTGGGTGTGTGTGTGTGTGTGTGTGTGTGTGTGTGTGTGTTGGGGGGGGGGGAGGTTATCACTATTTAATAATTTCCGGAATCAGAAGAAATGCTTGAGATTCAGTAGACCCTCCTGTTATTGTTCTTGTTGATGTGCCGTCAAGTTTCTTACAACTCATAACAGCCCCATGATCAGTAGCTCTACACGCCGCCCTATCCTGGGCCTTCTTCACCAGCTCTTGAGCCCGTTGTTACAGACACGGCGCCCTTCCATCTTGTTCAGGGACTTCCTCTCCCACACTGACCTTTCTAAGCATGATGTCCTGCAAGGACTGGCTCCTCCTTAGAACATGCCCAAAGTATGTCAAGTGGAATTTCTCCATCCTTGCTTTCAAGGTACACGCTTTTCATTTTGTCCAGGACAGATGTGTACTCTTGGCTGTCGAGGAGATAGTCATTACTCTTCTGCAACACCACAACTCAAAGGCATCGATTCTTCCTCTTACCATTCTTAGTCATTGTCCAACTTTCAGATGCATAGCAATCAATTGAAAAGACAGTAGCTTGGTTCAGGCACACCTCAGTCTTTAAACTCACATCATTGCTCTTTAGTATTCAGGAGAGGTACTGGACAGCAGATTGTCCAGTGCAACCTGTATTTTACTTTTTTGACTGTTAGTATCAAGGGTGTTAATTGTAGATCCAAGTAAGAGAAAATCATTGACATCTTCAGTCCGTTTTCTCTCTGTCATGATATTTGGCCCAATGGTGAGGACTTTTGGTCATTTTGATGCTGAGATACAATCCATACTGAAAATTGTAGTCCTTGGTCTCCTGGAGCAAACGCTACAAGTCCTGTTCTCTTTCAGTGACCAAGGTTGTGTCATCTGCATAACACAGGTTATTGGTGCATCTTCTTCTGATCCTTCTTGAAAAATGTAGATAGGTGCAAAAATTTAGACACAGTGCTGGTGCTTGTGGAGTGCTGGAACTTAGGACATTGTTTTCATAGGTGAATTATTTGCTCTGAGTCCCATACTTTAACTGAGACTAACAGATTGGGATTGTTAGCTTTCCTTTTAAGTCATAATTCCCTGCAGCTCACCCCTCCACTTTTCCATCCCTTAGCAAAGATACTTTGTTGTTCAAAGAATGAGGTCAATGCAGGAGGAGAGTGAATCTCAAAAACTTAACTGCTGGAGGTGACTCATAGCTGACTTGGCATGGGGTTTGCGAACCTGTAAACTGCACAGGATGGGATTGCCTCTTTTTCTCCCACGGGGGCAACGGTGGATTTGAACTGCCAGAGGCACAGCCTTTGAGTTAGCACAGCTCCCTGTGGACGGTCCCTCCAGAGCCTTTTCCCTAATGCAGTAGTGAGCAGATGACTGGCTTAATGCTCAATATCTGCAGATGTACTTGGCAGTTTGATGACGCTTTGTTAAATTTCACCTTTTAAAGCTTTTTTTCTCTGATGTTTGTTCTAGATGCTATTCCCAGTTCAGATCAGATTCGAGTAGCACCATCTTTAAAAAGCCAAAAAGGATCAGTGTGGACAAAAACAAGAGCGGCCTTTGAGAACTGGGAGGTGGAAGTGACGTTCCGAGTGACCGGGCGAGGTCGAATTGGAGCTGACGGCCTGGTATGCTGACGTCCCTCACTCAGGAGACGGCTGTGATGCCTCCGCTGCGGGTGCTGATTGTTTTTGTTGTGTCTTTACAGGCAATCTGGTACACAGAGAACCAGGGCTTGGAGGGGCCTGTGTTTGGATCAGCCGACATGTGGAATGGTGTTGGAATATTTTTTGATTCATTTGACAATGATGGAAAGGTATTACTGGTTGTTACAATTATTTTTTGTTTTAATCAGTTGAACTCTGAGAAATATAACTTACTTAGCATTGTCAAGTAAAGAAGCCCCCAAACCCAAACTATATTTTTTAAAAGATGCTTAGTGTTTCTATAACCAAGACTTTTCAGTTTAAAGATGTGAGTTCAGAAGTTGTCATACACACACTTGAGGTCACAATGGATGTCGTTATGACCATTATGGAGGTCATAATGCTAACTCTGAGCGCTTTGCAGTGACCCCTCCGCCCGCCTCTCTCTGTGTGCCTAGGGATTTCCACAGTTACATGTGAATCCTTTAGAGAAGGACAAACCAACAGAGTTTGGAAGACTGTTGCAGTTTGCTTTCATGAGAAAATGAATAGCTCACATGTTGTTGTTGTTGTCTGGTGCCATGGAGTTGAGTCTGATTCCTAGTAACCCTATAAACAACAGACGTGAACCCTGTCCTAGCCTGTGCTGTCCTCAGGATTTCTGACATACGTGAGAGCCCGTGGTACAGTCACTGTGTCAGACCATCTGGTTGAGGGTCTTCCTCTCTCTCATCATCTCTCCACCATTCCACGCATGATGTCCCATTCCAAGGACGTCTCTCCTAGCCATATACCCAAAGTATATGAGATGAAGCATTAACCTTCTTTACCTCCAGGGGAGCTCTGGCTGTACCTTCCCCAAGACATATCTATTTGGGTTATTTTGGGCAGTCCATGGTTTATTCAGCACTCATCTCCAGCACCACAGTTCAAAGACACAATTCTTTCTGTTATCCTTATTCATTGTCCAAGTCTCTGATGCATTGCAAGTGATTGAAAAGACCATGGCCTGAATCAGATGTACCTTAGTCCTCACATTAACGTTGTTCCTCAAATACTAGTATCTTTTTGGATCAGGTCAGCCACTTTCCCTGATGCTCTCTCCTCAGACGATTAAGATACAAGGTGTATGTACTACCATATTGGAAACATCCAATGACTTGAGCTTTGGCAGCCCTAAGATTAGTGAGCTTTACATCCTTTCTGCTTCTCAGAGGTGGTTTTTAGTGGTTTAGAGGGGAACTTAATTAGTAACTTCTAGAAAGCCAGGCACTGTGGCCCACCTGTTAGTAAGCTCTGATAAATCCCACAGCTGTCATTGGCTCACGGGCTGCCCTTCACTGTGTACTGTTGTTTATTCAAGAACAAGTTCATTTTGATTGAGATATTGAGTGACTGTTCTCAGATGACTGCTTATGTATTTTATAAATAGAAATCTCTCCTGTTGGTATTCATTATTTTAAAATTTTAAGTCTTAGAATTTTTAGAGAGATAAGAACTTTATAGAACATCCAGAATGATCCAGAATTCTTGACCTAAGGACTTTAAAACAAAACATTCTCTTTATTTTTAGAAAAATAATCCTGCTATAGTAATTATAGGCAACAATGGACAAATCCATTATGATCATCAAAAGTAAGTGTGTGTTTTTACCTTATTCCTGCTTTCACCTTCTCTTTGGAAGCCTTATGCATATATTTCTTAAATCTGAACACTTTCCAAATGAAATAAGAGTCTCCTTTTTCTTCAGATATATTTTATAATTTGGTGAAAAAATTACTGTTATTTGGTTCTGTTTTAAAGTTCTTTCTGTAGGTCTTGTCAGATTTCAAACAAAATGTATTATTCTATTTTAAGTAAAAAACTACAGTAATTTTTTTTTATTTGCTGTAAAAATAACATCTGACAGCGTTGGCTAGTTCACCATTTTTTGGGTGCACCATGTAGTGATCTTCCTTACGTTAGCCATGCTGTGTGAACATTGCCCATAAGTGTTGGCAGATTTTCTGTACCCCCCCCAAAACCATGGCTCCACATGCCTTTAACTCCCACCCTCCTTTGGTAACATCTCGTAAATTTTGTTCTCAATCATTTGCTATTGTTATTTCATATATATGAAATGAAAGTCTGTAATTATTATAAAGTACTTGACTGTAAAAGTCAAGTTGTTACTATAAAGCACTAAAAGTCTGTAATTATCATAAATGTTTATAATGTACTTGACTCTTCAACGTTGCCACAAGTCATATGCTTTTGCATCTTTATCAAAATGGGTTTGTCAAAACTAAAGTTCACAGCTTTGGCCAAACTGAGGAGTTAGCAGTTTATGCTGCCTGTCGTTGTTGTCATTAAATGCCATTGAGTCTGCACCGCCTCCTAGTGACCACAGATGTGGCCCCTGGTCCTGTCCCTTCTTCAGGGTCAGCCTTAGCATTTTTTACTTTGCTTGGTTAATGACTAAGCAAGTGATAAAGCAGTTCAGGTATGAGTGGAGCACTCTTTTTTCTTTTTCTGTTAAGGAGAGAATCAGTGAATTGTAAAAGCTATTCAGGTTCCCCATACTATCTAACAGTATAGTGTTTGTGTGAAACCTTTTGTAAGCAGAAAGGGCTTGAGATAAATCCTTGAGCCCTCCCAGACTACATCCTGATCTCTATCCAAGAGTGCCACCCTCTCTTTGTCCCAGCAGTACATGGGAACCCAAGGCTGCGGGAGGAAGGAAAGGATATTGTGTATCAGCTTCGTGTCTTCTGAGTAACTGTTAGAACTGCTCTAGACTGTTACAGCTTGATACTGTGTGAATGTTCCTGAACAGTAATAGTTGAAGCAGTGAGTTTTAACTCCTGTTAAAATTGCTCCCTGAAGTGTGTCCTTGTCTGTCCCTGTACTGCAGCGATGGTGCTGAACAAGCTCTGGCGAGTTGCCAGAGGGACTTCCGTAATAAACCCTATCCTGTTCGAGTCAAGATTGTATATTACCAGAAAACATTGATGGTAAGTAACGTGTGCTTCCTGATAGCCAGTGGATAATTTTTGTTGTGTTGTCATTGTGTACCACCGAGTCAAAACGGACCCATAGCTGAACCTCCAGCAGCTTTTCAGAGGTTGTTAATCACGTGGAAGAAGATTACCTCACCTTCTCCCATGGAGCAGCTGGTGGATTTGAACTGCATGCCTTCAGGATTCCAGCACAGCTTCTTACCAATGGCTACCAGAGCTCCCTGAGTAGTATTTTAGGGTATTTTTCATTCTTTACAGACATTAAATGCCCTTAAATTTGATTATTGGTCATGTACTTCTCAGCATTAATACAAGAGAACACATGGCCTCAAAGGCTAGTGTGAGTGGTCACCCGGGTCTAAACCTTGTCACCAGGTTTGGATTTAGTCAGTAAATGCTGAAGCACCCGATCGCATGCCAGATCTTACCGACCTGTCCCTGCCAGCAGGGACACAGACATGTACCAGGTGGGCATGGAGTAGGTCAGGAACCATTTCTCAGAGATGGATTGTATTTTGAAGGGGACTAGAGCCTTCCTAGATAAGAGGACCTGTTCTTCTCAGATGAAGCAAGCCCCAAGGCTGGAGAGAAGTCGGAATGTTTGGGAAAGGCATGTAGTTTGGTGTGGCTGGAGAGTTGAAAATCCAAAAGGAGGGAAGAGGAAAGTTGGCAATAATAGGTTTTGAATTGCAGAGTGTAGATTATCTATAAGAAGCCACGTTAAGACTTCCAGTCAGGAACTTGGAATTGTCTGACTGACAGTTTAAGAAGATGGTCTCAGCAGCCGTGTTCTCAGCCTGGTATTTATGAAAAGTGAAGTAACTTAGGTTCCTGAGTATGTGGCATTCCATGGAGTTTCTCCTTTAAACTTCTTTGCAGCCCTGTGAGGCAGGCATCTCCGTTTTAGCCGTGTGGAAGCTGACTCCCACAGTCAGCTCGGATTGTGTCAGCATCTCATTTGAACCAGCCTGTCTTAACTTCAAGGCCTCAGCTGTTGTCTGACCTAAGGTATTAGAGATGGAGAAGTGATCTGGGGTTAGAAACTACAGGATGTAGTACTACGTAGCTGAAGGGTGAATGGAGAGAGGAGGGTGAGGACAATTGAGTCAAGGACAGTTCCTGACTGACTGGCTAGTTGGGTGGCTGGTAGTATTAACTGATTGAAAGGACCCTAGCAAAGAAGCGCGCGCGCGCCTGCGCGTGTGTGTGTGTGTGTGTGTGTGTGTGTGTGTGTGTGTATGGAGCTGCAAAGCAGGGAGTTGATTTAATTATAATCAGGTTGAGTTTAGGATAATATTTAGGTGAATTTATCTGGTTGGCAGTTATAATAAGATCATGCAGTGCATAATTTGTTTTTCAAAGACACCATAAGTCCCTGGTGAGAAAGTGCTAACAGTCTTTTCCCTTAATCATAAGCTTTTTCCCTTACAGATAAAATACATTTTATGAATCTTTCCTCTTAATCAAGTCTTGAACTTTTATGTGTAAAATTCTAAAAAACATCTTGGGAAAAACTTGGCATGTTGCCTCACTCTTAAATCCCAAGCCCATGTCAAGATCCTAGTACCTCCTGCACTGTCGTTAAGGTCCTCATCAGTAAGTCACTCCTAACCTGACATGGCCCGGGCTCCAGGCATGGCCTCCGGATCCACACTTGCACCCACAGGGCAGTCACCAGGCAGTGAGGCTGCCTTCCTGCTGCACCACAGTGAGCCCTGGAGCACGTCTCAGCCTGGATCCTTGCATGCGGCACCATAGAGAGAGGTCCCTACCCAGAGGAGAACGGAACCCTGCACGGGGCACCATAGAGATGGGTCTTTACCCAGAAAAGAGTGGAACCCTGCACGGGGCACCGTAGAGAGAGGTCCCTACTCAGAGGAGAACGGAATCCTGCACGGGGCACCATAGAGATGGGTCTTTACCCAGAAAAGAGTGGAACCCTGCATGGGGCACCGTAGAGAGAGGTCCCTACTCAGAGGAGAACGGAATCCTGCACGGGGCACCACAGAGATGGGTTTTTACCCAGAAAAGACCAGAGCCCTGCACGGGGCACCGTAGAGAGAGGTCCCTACCCAGAGAAGACTGGAATCCTGCATGGGGCACCATAGAGACTAGTGTCCCTGCGCACACAGGTTTATCAGATTTGGGGCGACTTGCTGTAGAGAACCCCTCCTTTAGCCTCGTGTGTTTCTTGACTTATGTGTCCGGGGGATTCTTTTTCTTCCCCCATCTGTGAATGTCCTGGCAGAGCTCATGTTGCAGGCACAGCACACATCGTTTCTCACCTTCGCACACTGGGTCCGCGTTGACTTTTCCTAGGTCACTCTCCACCTGGAAGGGGCCATTCTCTTTCATTTCCTGAACTTCAGTGCGTTAGGGTTTCTTTTCTGTTGTTTATTTGACCGTTATGTTGTCTCAGATCCTAGTTAACTGTATGAGTGTTTTTTCATCAGTATGATTGCAAATTTCTTTACGGGCGGTACACCTTGTCTGTTTCACTTCAAAGCCCATTGCCATGAAATCAGTTGTGATTCAGAGTAACTGAGAACTACTCCATAGGGTTTCCAAGGCTGTGAGTTCAGGAAGCTGACTGCCACATCTTTGTCCCTCAGAGCGGCAGCTGGGTTTGAACCACTCACTTTTCAATTCAGCAGTGGAACTCTTAACCACTAAGCCATTCAGGCTCCTGTATGCCCTGCAGTCCCTAAGATTGCATATGTGTTTGGTCCTCGGAAAATGCTTGTCAAGTAAGCATTAACACCTTGGCTTGTCCTGGTTTCCACATCGGGGAGGAATCGAAGTCCGGATATGGCAACCCAGAGCTTTCCTGTAAACCTGTACCTGTGGCCTGTCTTCCAGGTGATGATCAATAATGGCTTTACACCAGATAAAAACGATTATGAGTTTTGTGCAAAAGTGGAAAACATGATTATCCCTGCACAGGGGTATTTTGGAATATCTGCTGCAACAGGAGGTCTTGCAGGTAAATCTTGTTTTTAGTATTGAAAGTTTGTAAATTGGGTTTAATTGGAAAGAGTGTACTTGGCGGATGCAGAGACTTCTTTTTAATCTTGAGAAACTAGTTGGGCCTTCCCAGGGTCCGAGGTGCCAGTCTCTCCGTCTGTTGAAACTGTCAGTCTTCTTACCTGTTTTGTGGGCGCCCAGCTGGGTGGGCTCCATTCATTTACATAAACTCAGCCTCGGGTGGGCTGTTCTGTGTGGGAGTGGACGCACTTAACATCAAGGCTGTAGAAGTGAATGGCCAAGTGTTTCAGGATACTGAGAATTGTCACATGAAACAAAAATGCACTTGGAAGCCTGAGGAAATATTATTTAGGGACATACTTTCTAAAACTTTATCATTTTTTCATAGGTGATGATAACATTTGATTTTAATACCTCTTGTGTTAATAGGATAGCTTGTAATTTGAATATGTTGTAGAAATAGATTTTCTTGTAGAAAAATCTTTTGAAACAGATATATAGTTTTTAAAGCCCTCAAGGAGAGAAGATAGATGTATTTTTCCTACTCTTGGGTGAGCTTTCATGTCTTGGAAATGGTTTTGTGAAAATCGTTGCAGGAACTTTCTTAACAGTCTAGCTTTCTGACTCCTGGCCCAGAGCTCTGCACACTGCCCTACTCTCCTCAGAGTCGCTGAAGCACAGCGCATTCTCATTGCTCTTTAAGCACCACCCGTCAGACTTCTCCAGAGTAGTGGCCCGGAGCATGCAGATTGCTGCACAGCAGAAACGACTCTCTGGCTGTCACTGGCTGGAACTGGAATTTTAGTTCCGTGATAATGGGCCTTGTTCCACTGGGTCTCTATTTTCAGCCTGAGAAGATTAAAATTGTTCTTTTAATATGAATTTCAAGAAATGATGTGTGATAGAAACAAATAAGAATGATTTATAGTGAAATTAACCACCTCCTCTAACTAACCCAGGGTGCTTTGAACATATGTTGTAAGAGGACAGCAGTGTCTGACTTTGGACGTCCCAGCAAAGCAGGGTGGAGAATTGGCCTCATCACAAGTGTAAAATGGGGCACAAGGGCTAAGGTGTCATAAGAAAGGCTCAGCAGAGATGGGGACGGGGAGGGGGGTGGGGTGGGGGGACACCCCCATTGAGAACGGCTGTGGTCTCATTTACCTCAGATATCATCCATGAAGAAGAGTTTAGAAAATAGAGGAGGGCTTTGGTGTCAGCATTAGGAATGTAGGCTTGTTTAGCTGTTGATGTGTTCCTGTTCTGAAAACACTGGGGCAGAGTTCACATCCATTGTTCATAGGCTTGCTCAGAGCCAGAGTTGACTCAGTGGCTCTTAACAACAACAGTGTGCTAAACAGTTGCTAAATAGGTACAACTCGTAATGACCCTGCGGGCTGTACAACTGTTCCTGGGTCCCCAGGTTGTATATCTTTAGGGCAACAGTGGGTTGTCACAGCTTTTTCCTACAGAGCACCTGGCAGGTTTGAACCACCGACCAAGGATTTCACAAAGTGCATTGTACTTTCTTTTAATGGAAATTGCTAAGCTGAATATTATTAATACCAGTTCATTTTTCTTTTCTTACTTTATAAAGCAGTGGATAACCAGAGTACACTATTACAAAAGTAATCTGTTAGGAAGTTATTACCTTGTGCTTTTTTTCCCTAGACTTTTTCTTTTCACTTTCTTTTTTTTTTTTTTAAATTATTAAATTTTATTAGTATTAATGAACATTTACAGGGATCTTGGGTTTTCATTCCTTCATTGCTGTACCATTCTTTCTACCCTCTTCCCCAGTTTGTTGTTCTTCCCCCGCCCTCTGAATGTCTGTTTTAATTGTCCAATTGCCACAGTGCTTGTCAAAGCCAGTTCTGTTTAATCTCCTTTGTCAGTGTGTCCTTTGCCATTCCCTATCACTCCTCCCTGAGAGAGACTCCACCCTGATTCATAAGGGAAAGGAGATGGTGTATTCTCTTAGCTACTTCCTGCTGAAAAGGGACGCTGTGGGTTTCAGGGTGAAGATCTTCTCTCCCTACTCTAAAGGGCCCCTTTGGCAGTAGGAAACACATCGACTATTATGGAGATTGATTTTGGAATTTAGATGCACTGTTATTAATTGTGCTTAGCCGTACATGTTCATATCCTTGAAGATGTATCATGGGGGTGTTGCAGCCTAGAAGATACAAATTTAACTAACAAGTTATAAGTACATGAGTCAAAAATTATGGAAAAGTAAAAGAAAAGATTCTTTCATTGTTTTACAAACCCTCCCCCAGGTCCCCTCCACCATGTAGCCCTCGCTCTAGACTCCTGTGATGACAGAAATACCTAGTCACAGATCTCTTTTAAACAGTTTTCTCCCTCCTCTGCTTCGGTGCAGTATACATTATTGAACCCATCTTACTCAGTCTCTCCCCAACCCCGAGGTTAGTCCCATTCTACAACAGCAGCATCATGTGCTATTTGTCCTTTTGTGACTGGGATATTTCACTCAGCATAATGTTCTCCAGAGTCAACCATTTTGAATAATATTGCATGAGTTCCTTGTTTTTCAATGCAGCATAGTATTCCATTGTGCGAATATACCACAGCTTCTCTAGCCATTCGTTTGTTGATGGGCACTTAGGTTGTTTCCAACTCCTTGCTATTGTGAACAAAGCTGCAGTAAACATGGGTGTGCATCTTTTCACTTTCTAGATGACCATGATGTTCTTTCTTTTCTGACCTTCCAACTGACTGAGCCTGGAAAAGAACCAGTAAGTACACACACTTTTCCCCCCAGAGTTCCTTTTCTGTTGCATGATATTGCCTGTGTCTGAGGCTCGGGATGTCTGGCTGAGTTTGAATATTATCTCTGCAGTTACTGCTTCAGGGTTTTGTGCAGGTCACTTACACCCTGTAACCTCCAGGAGCAAAGCCAGGGTGTTGGTCTTGGCGGCGGTGGGGCGCTGCAAGGGTTGAAGGAAGCTGCGCTCAGAGCAGGCAGGCTGCTCGGTGGTGGTTATTTGCTGTTAAGGTGTGTTGTAAGAATTGGTTTATAATGAGAAATAACAGTCTTGTTAGTAGAGCAGTTGAAGTGAATTTTTTAAAGAAAATGTTTCATTTTGAGGTACTCATTGATTTCTGTATGATTTTTCTTTTTTTTTGGTAATAATTCTTAAACTCCAAAACAGCCTACACCAGATAAAGAAATTTCAGAAAAAGAGAAAGAAAAATATCAGGAAGAATTTGAGCATTTTCAGCAAGAATTGGATAAGAAAAAGGAGGAGTTCCAGAAGGACCACCCTGACATTCAGGGGCAGCCGGGTGAGTTATGGGGTCTCTGCCGTGGACACTGCAGCGAGGGGAGGCTGAGCGGTGGGCATTGCGTCAGGAGCCTGGCCTGGGGCCTGTGTTCATCCCATCCCAACCCCCCACCCCCCAGCTAGCATATCGCACAGTTTGTGAATAAATCATTGGTTTTTAAAGAGTCTGGAGGTGGACGTTTCATTACGGGTTAGAGTGTGACTGTTGACGTGTGAGAAAAGCAGTAACGTGTGTGGGTGGAAAATGTCAGCCCCGTGAGGACAGGCTTGTGTTCATTGTGTGCACCACCATTGCCCCCAAACTCAAAACTCTCTTCTGGCCTAGTCCCATAGTTGAGCTCAGTAATATCTGCTGGGTGGACCGGTCCAATGTGGGGTCTTTTCTTTCCTGTCTCTGAGAATTATACAATTCCTCCATGTCCTGTGGAGTAGTACTTAGAACTTACCAAAAGGGTTGAGCGGAGAGAGCCTGCAGCTCTCCTCTTATCAGTAGATTTCTGGACTTAATCTGGTAAGGTGGGAATTTTAAATATTCCTCTAAACTGGTATAGTCAAGAATGTAAGTCTGCTGATACAAAAAGTAAAGCATTGTGAATAAAGCCAGCTAGAGTCACGTTTCCCTAACCTCGCTCTTCTGTCTGGGTGGTTCCCCATCAGCATAGACACCAGCCTGTGATGGATATGCACTGTCGTAGAGGGCACTTGGTGGCACGTTCAGCCGAGACCACGATCACGTTAGTCTCAGGAAGTAGAAATGTGTGTGTTGGCGTGGGGCGGTGTGGTAAAGGGGTGTAGATGTGCAGAGGAGGAGGCAGAGGCAGGGGTCGTTACGGCTGGATTGAAGCCGGGGGCCAGGATGAGCTGAGCTGAGAGGTGAGGGTGGTGGGAGTGCTGTGCTGCGCCCGTGGTGGGCAGGGAGAAAACGTCACTTGGTGGTGGGTGAGGGACGAGGACCGGCAGGAAAGAGAGGCCCTTCCTCCTTGCATTTGTTGAAGCTGTCATGTGGGATTTGTGAGTCAGTTCTGTGAATGAAGGCATCACCTCCTTCAGCATGTACAGCTAGAAACAGAAGAGCAGCTGTTCTCTTCAACTCTAAACTCTGTTTCTTAATCTTCTGCATAAGTAAAATGTGCATACTTGAAGAGGCTACTGTAATTTAAAAAGGGTCCAAGCATCAGCGATGTCAGAACCACACGGTAATGGAGTTGACTGGAGGGTAGACCACTGGACAGGGCACCTTCTCGTTTCCCTCGCCGCAGCACTCAGTGGGCCTGTGTCTTTGAGAAGCCCTCTGTGTAGGCTGTTCTGATGGTTTTCATTTGGAATGTCGTTCCCAGCCGAGGAGATCTTTGAGACTGTTGGAGATCGTGAGCTGAGGCAGATCTTTGAAGGACAGAACCGCATTCATCTGGAAATCAAGCAGCTCAACCGCCAGTTAGATATGATCCTTGATGAGCAGAGAAGGTACGTCTCCTCCCTGACGGAGGAGCTCTCCAAACGTGGAGCCACGGTCCCGGGGCAGCCCGGACAGGTGAGCCTTCCCGGGGGCACGAGGGCCCTTGGTGCAGGGGATGTATCAGAGGAAGGTGGTGGGCTGCAGGTGTGGTTCCTGAGCTGCCAACCCGTCTTTCTTCTCTTTTTCTGCCCAGATCTCTCAACAAGAAGTGGACACTGTGGTGAGAACTCAGCATGAGATTCTGAGACAAGTGAACGAAGTGAAGTAAGTGTGTGGTCGGAGTCTTGTCTGCCTTGTGCTGTCTTCATCCTCATTTCCTGCCTCTAGGGAGCTGGGTGGCCTACAAGGTGGAGTTACGCTGCTCTCACAGGTGGCACCTCTCCTCAGTGCCAGGCCCCCAGCAGCTTCTCTGGAGAAGGATGGGCTGTCCCCTCTGTGTGCTTACGCCTGGAGGATCAGCTGTGAGTCACTTCCTTCTTGGTGGCAGTGACCTTGAATTTCTGGGTTTTCATGACTTCTCTAGGAGCCCAGGCCCCTTCAGATTCCTGCCTGAGGACAGTCGCACATGCATTAGTTTAACCATATGGGAAGGGACTGTAAAGACATAGATTCTTGGGAACTGCAAGCACGTCTGAATGTTTAAACTAGTCTTGCCAAAAAAAGTAAAATGAGCCTTCGTCTCTTAAAATAGTAAGTTTGTCCCAACTCTGGACAGTCAGGTATAAAATGTAAAAGGAATGAGGGTAACACTTTAGGACTAGGGCAGTAGGCCTGCGTGTGCAGTAGGACTCAGATACAAGCATGGTTGACGCAGGCACGTCTTTCTAAAGGAAGAGAATGCTTTTGTCTTTTGAGCAAAAAAAAGGTAGATTGGTTGGTTTGTTTTTTTTCCCCAGAACCTTTTTCAGGTAAATACGTCATAATGCAATTGCCTCTTTTTTATTCTTATTTTGTGTTATGGTACAGACTAGAGAAAGATGGCACAGAACAGTGGTAAATGGGTGGTAGTTAAGAAAAAGAATGATCAGTGATGTAGATCATGTGTGGTTTTCAGTGCCTAGGGCAAGGAAAGCCATGTGGCTGTCTCCACAAGCACCGCTTCAGCGATTGTACCCACTGACAAACGAGAATATCAGGTGACTTCTTCCCAGCTGCAGAGTTAAATAGTGTGGTAACTTCTGACCACAGTCCTGTAGAGAACAGCCTGGAGTGCTCCGTGGGCACACGCGTTCCTTAGCTCCACACAGCGTGGGCCAGCAGTGGGGCCTGGTGGTCAGGAGAGCCCGTGTGTTCTGCGTACTTGTTAGTCGTCCTGCCACCATTCCTCAGAAACTCTTCTCTAGAGATCTCTGCAGTCCTGTTTTCACTTAATCAGTCTCCTAATCATCTTCCCACCACAGTTCCAGAGTTCCAACCGAAGATTAATTCCTCAGCTCTGGGTTCCAGCTGGCTAGAGCTGTAGATGTCCTGTCTCATTGCCCTCTTGCCGGACGACATGGGCCAGAGTTTCCAGCATAGTCTATATCCCTAAAAAATGCCAGCCGCCTCCCCAGCCTGCAAAAAAGAGAATAGCAGTCCTTTTGCATAGCGTTGATTCTGCCTTGTTGACCCTGAAGGACAGGGTGGACTCGCCGCACGGTTTCCAAAGCTGTCGCATCTGTGAAAGCTGACTGCAGCTTCTCCCAAAGAGCAGCCAGTGTGGTTGAACCACAGCCTGTCACTTAGTTTTCGAGCACTGTACCCCCAGGGCTCTGTTGTCTCGTTCTGCTGTGCTGTGGAGCCAGTTCTGACTCAGCGAGTCTGCAGCTCAGAACTGTCCTGTGCTACGCCGTTCTCCACCCGCCCCGCTGCCAGTCTCTCCTGTTGCTCATCACTGTTGGTCCATCTCATCGAGGGTCTTCCTCTCCTTTGCTGACCCTCCACCTTTAATAGCAGGATGTCTTATCAAGGACTGGCCCTTCTCGGCAGCATGCCCAAAGTAGTGAGATGGAGTTTCACCATCCTTGTCTTTAAGGAGCACCCTGATTCCACTTTTTCCAAGACAGAGTTCTGTCGGCAGTCCATGAGCTGTTCACCATGAGTCACATTGTCAGCATCAGCTCTGGTGTGGCCAGGCCTCAGCTGCACAGACTCCCTCAGCGGGTGGGAGATTGCAGGGGCTGAGAGCTTATCTCCGAGCTCGTCAGGCCCAGCGCTGAGGACCTTTGGAATGAGCAGGGCTGGGACAGCCCAGAACAGCTGAGTTAACCATTTACTCGGCATTGACCGACTGATGGAGGACAGATTTATTTATTCACTACTTAGAGTGAAAGTTTACAAATCACATTGTTTTTTCATTCAGCCATTCATAGACACTTTGCTTGATGACATTAATTAATAAACAGTTTTTTATGACATTAATTGCAGGTCACTAATATACTTACTACTATGTCTGATCAGCCTCTGTTTTGTATATTGCCGTTCCCATCGCTGAGCTTACATGCTTATTAACTTCTATTCCCTTCTTCTCCCTTGGGGAAGGTTTTCTCACATGGCCACAAAGAGCAGTTCCTGATTATTAGAGCCCTGGTGGCACAGTGCAGTGCTGGGGTGGGGATGAGGTGTGTGTCTGTCCCTGTCTGTTTGGGAGTCTTGGAAACCCTGCAGAGCAGCTCAGTGTCAGTTTTAACACAAGTTAGTGACATTCTCTACATTTGCATGGCTCTTAGTAAAAGATAAAGACTTAATATTTAATTGTTTTTTTGTACATACTCCTTGTTTTGAAGACTTTAAATTTTTTTTTCCTTAAGAGCCACTATATTGATCTTAAGAGTTTATCTAACCATTAGAAAGCTGTAATGAAAAGAAAAGCCTTTATTGTGAGTCCACTGTCTGAGGAAGTTTTCTCTTCCAGGAATTCCATGAGTGAGACCATCAGACTAGTCAGCGGCATACAGCATCCTGGGTCTGCAGGCGGCGTTTACGAGTCCACGCAGCACTTCAACGACATCAAAGAGCATCTGCATGTGGTGAAGAGGGACATAGACAACCTCGTGCAGAGAAACATGGTACCGCCCCTTGCCTCCCTCAGTCACCGAGGTCCCATCAGTGCACTGAAACTGCTGGACCCTTTGACGTGTATTAATGCTCATGTTAATGTTCAGGGTGAAATCGGAGCACATCAGACTTCCACATCCTGTGGAACAGAATTTTTACAAATAAATACATTACTCCCAGTTAGAGCAGCCATCCAGTCCCAGAACCGTTTCTTTTTCTAGAGTTTAACATACAAACCTGTTTTTATAAGTAAGGGGGCTCTTGTTTTATCAGTAATCCCTCTGAACATCTTGGAAAGTGTCTCTTCACCGACTCCTTTTCTTTCATAGACAAACCAGAGCTGAGTGATTGACTTTATTTCTCTCTGCATGGGCTGGTGGGAGGCTCATGTCTAAAACTGGATGGACAAGGCCAGCTTTGCTTAGATAGGTTTCCTTTGTTACTTCTGTCATATTTTTAAAGTTCTTTTGTTTTACTTTACTAGATCTTACATTTTTTTGACCCCCATTTACATTATAAAGACTGTAAACATGTATAGATATTTGCAGAAATCTCTGTATGGTACAAACGGTTAACCCCTCAGCTACTCACCAAAAGGTTGGTGGTTCAGACCCACCCAGAGGCACCTTGGCAGTCAGGCCTGGTGCTCTGCTTCCGAAAGTCAGAGCCCAGAAGACCCTGTGGAGCAGTGCTCTGCCCGTGTATGAGGGTGAGTCAGACGAGACTCCCCAGTGACCGATGACCACGGCTCTCAGTCAGCGAGCGTCCCTGCCAGGGAGTGTGTGTCAGCGTCTGAGGCAGAGAAGATGGGTCATCTCTGCAGTCAACTCCCCTAGACAATCAGCACTGCGTTGCTTCCAACTCGAGGGGAATGAGGGTGTGAAAAGTCAGTGACTGAGTGGAGAGAAAAGGTAGAACCTGCCAGAGTTAAGAAGTAGAAGCTGGTTAGAGACTGAATATGGGAAAACTCAGAAGGAAGTCACAAGTTTTCTGTTTTTTCTCAGTCACTTCTTTTACCAAAATATAGAATTGACTAATACGAAGTTCTTTGCCGTTTAGCCACATGAAAAACAGAAATGCCCAGAACTCCCGCCATTTCCGTCCTGTTTATCGACCATGCACTTCGTCATATTTGTTGTGGTGCAAACAGTGTTATTCATCGGCTACATCATGTATCGGTAAGTCTCTGGAAAATGTCATCGAATTATTTTTCTATCACTGCTTTTTGCGAAACACTCAGTAGAGTCATCTGTGCAAAATTATAGAACCTTTAAGATCGGTAAAATTAGCTGGATGCTGATTTGATGAAGAGTCTGTTCTAGGCCGTAGCCGTTGACACGGGCATCCGTGCGTAGACCCTGGGCTTCCTCGATGCATCTTCTCATTTAGAAAGGCACTCGGCTCTCTGTCTTGAGCAGCCTTCGTCTTTCTCAGCGTGATGTACCTGGGACTCGTTTCATTATCTCTCTCTGTCTTCCCTCCCCTTCTCACGTTAGGACTCAGCAAGAAGCAGCAGCCAAGAAGTTCTTTTGACCATCGTGTTGATGATGTATGTGTGTCACGTATGTACGGACAAAAGCTTGTCTTTTTGAGGGAATTTAAGTATTTAAATTGCTTCATAGTCTAAATTATTAAATTTTGTATAAAATAACTGTTGAAACATCAATTTGCAGTAAGAATAAACCTTAAAACAAAGATGACTACATGTAAAGTTGTGCGTGGGACAAAAGTCTGTGTAAATGGCAGTGCATTTCAGGTCAGTCAAATGCAGCTGAGCAGAAAGGTGGGGGGGGGGTCAGCGACAGGAAGCAGGGGCAACCAGGACACAGCAGGCACCCCAGGGCTCTGATGGTGGGGTTTCTGTTTAATGTAAACACATTTTACCTCCTTGTCCCATGAAATACGACACCCGCTCACTTAAGAGAGAAGGCTCCAGCCTCCGCGTATGCATTCGATAACCAAAGGTTTTCAGAGTCAGATTCCTTGGAAGACTCAGCCCTCCACCTGTTGATGTTCGTACAACTCCCTTTAAAATCGAAGAATGTTTCGTCCGTAACCTTTACAGCTTATGTAGTAGATTTAGAATGTTTCTTGAAATCTTTTTCCCTCTGACCATTGATGGTATAATTCACTTTTCCAGCAAAATTTGGAGTAAAATGAATAGCTGCTATTTGCCCAGAAAGCCATTTAGATGGAGACATACTTCTGATAATGGATTCGAGCACTTTGCTGGGTACTGTGATCGCCCATGTGCTGAAGGCTTCGTTCTCAGTTTTCAGTTCAGTATTATGACAGTGATTTTTTATTCACATTTATTTGTAAGTGAAGGGACTCGTTCTCCGGTTTGGCGCTTACATTGTGTGGTCAGAGGAGATTGTAAATCCACAAACCCGCCAGTGTGTTCTCCCTTACCTTTCTTAACCCTGTCTGCTCGACTCTTACTTGCATACTGTTAAGTTAGTGAGACTAGCAGAGCGATCACAGGACTTTTAAAGGAGATTTTGAGGACTAGAGTCCTACATTCTGTGTTCTTCTTTTCTCCCAGAGCCAGAACTGCAGATTTTTAAAGCAGTCTTCACCTTGAAGTGTCAGGCTGGATGAGCTTTTCTCGGCCATTAGCAGAGTTCTGGGTGTTACAAAAACATTCTAAAAAGGACGTTTTAAAATGCTGTTTTCACAGTTGACAGACTTTTCCTCGCTTCAGAAAGCTCTGCCTCTTCAACTAGTGGACTGACTCTCCATTTGTCATAAAATCCAAAATGACACTACTTTATGAAACAGCACTATTTGTGTCTTCAAGTCTCCGTCAGTTTACTCTACAACTTCATTTACAGATTGGACCAGTGGCACAAAATTCATAGGAATTTTTTTAAGAAAGTCTGTATTCTGTTTTTAATTAGTTGTCAACACGTAGGTTCTGATTCATAGCAACCCTGTGTCCAAGGAGCCCCTCCCAGCCCTGTGCCGTCCCCGGTCGCTGCGGCGCTTGGCCCCTTCAGTTACTCCACACCTGATGCCTGCCGCGTGTGCACACCGCCTTCACTGGCTTCACGTTGCTCTCCACCTTAGCGTTTACTCTGGAATGCCACACGAGACGGCTCTGCAGAGTCCTCTGCATCCTTCCCCACCACGTAGAGTGTCCTCTAGTGCTGCTGCTTAGTGGTGGGGACATTCTGAAATGCATGTTTCAGAGACATCATCACAGGACACTCTCACCCCATGAAAAGAACATAGTACCTTCAGAAGAATAAAGTTATAGACTCTGAAATGTGGGAAATCCTCTTGAGATTACAAAGTCCACGTCCCATGAGCCTGAACATCCAAGAAACCCCGGCCCTGTGCAGCACACGCCAGTCAGACCACAGCTCACGGGCACCATCCTGACCATTCCTGACGCGGTGAACGTGGTGGTCAGGGCAGCCACGAGCGAGAGCCGTCTCTGAATTAGCACTCTGTCCTGCTCCCAGCCTCTCAGAAAAGCAGGTCACCCCTGGATGGTATAGAAGTTTGATTTCTCCTCCTCAAAATCACTGACTTTAGCTCATGTCTGAAGAAAACGATTTGCTTTGTGAGAAAATCACTTCCGGCTAGGACTCCTTCATTCCTGTACTGTTTTGTATGATTGGATTTGCTCACTTTCTCACACCAGCAAGTACTCTACCTGTGCCTTGAATTAAAACAAGCTTGGTTTCAAATGTCAGTGTATGTCACTGCTTATGACACTGCCTTCAGAAAGATGCAGCTGCACCTGCTCCTCTCCTTCGCCAGTGTACTGTCTGCTGCTTGGTGGGATGTTGTATGCAGCTAGAAATGTCACGGAGCCACAAACGATGTCATTTATTGGTGAGACGGCATTGCTTCTCACAGGGCAGCCTGCGGGCTATCTGGGTCAGGCATGCTTGTTAGAACTCCAGACCCCAGGGCTCAGAATCAGGTGGGACTTGGCAGGAGCCACAGACGACTGAGAACCACTGTGGCGAGGGAGGGTCTCTGAGTGGCACAGTCGAGGGCCCAAGTAAGAGCAGAGCTCGGTGGTTTGAACCTACCCAGAGGCACTTGCAGGTCAGGCCCAGCACTCGGCTTCAGTTCTCTGCACAGTTGGGGTCGTTGTAAGTCAAAATCGACTTTGTGCAAACTAGCAGTGAAAGGAATGTTAGGAAGTTGCTTTAGTGTCTGTTCTGTGTACGTCCGAGCCGTAACGTGCACGGCTCGTTGTGATGGCATATACGTGCGGATTCCTTTGTACTGGCATGTAGGGCTCTTTTTACTAAACTCTTGGCACATAAACAACCACAGACTCAACCCACAGTTGCCTAGAGCTCTTGGCAGTTTGGTGATGGCTTCATGTCCTGGTTCAGCCATGGAATCCCCTTTACAGAGCCTGCCTGCTAAAGCCTGTGTTTTTCTCATTGTAAATGTCGCGGCATTTCATCTCAGACAGTTGTGATTTTTGAAAACTTGGGGAAAACAGCAATTACTTGAATAAGGATTGTCCTTCCCACTGCTCTGCTGAGAGATAATCTTTGTAAAGAACATAAATAGATAGCAGTGGGAATAGTCAAATGTGATTCTCTTCCCCTGTCTGTCACAGGGAAATATTATATAAATGAGAGTATTGGGCATTTTTTAATTTAAACAATTTAATGAAAACCCATGGTTGCAACTTTTTAGATCTGTGTGTTGCCTGTTTAATATATTTCTTTTGTGGATATTAAAGTTTAAAAGGTTTTTCTATCTAGTGTCAATTTAAATTTTATGACATTTTGTCACATTTTCTCTTCTGATTGTTACTTGATGCTAGCTGGCATTCAAAACATGGCATTGACCTTGTTCAAATAAAGAAATATTTTAGTAAATTTTCTTTTTCCTTTATTGACTTCAATACTAAGTACCATCTGTTTGCCAGGTAGGCCCCTGGTTTCTGAGGCCCTGCTTTCAGTGCATATATCCTTCTCAGTGGTCCCTTGTCACATTTTGGTCATTATCACAGTATTTCCAACATTTTCATAACACTATCACACATTTAATGAGGGTTCTATCCACTCATGTTTGCCTAGAGTCTGTGTATGACTTTATGTGCCCTGGGAAACAAACAGAATGGTGCAGCTCGCTTTATAGTAATAGCTGCTTTATTGGAGTGGTCTGGAAGCAAACATACTATCAAGCTGAGGCCTGGAGTGATTGGGTACAACTGAAGGCTGCAGGGGGAAGTGACCGTGGGTGTGACACAGCAGCTTCTGAAAGGAGCCTGGGCTTCACCCCAAGGGCCGTGGGAGGCTGCAGGGTTAAGCAGAGGGAACGTCTGCATTTAGAACCTGTTCCCCAGATGCCGCCTGATGGACCCTGCCCAGCCACACGGCTCTGGGTGGAGAATGAGCCAGAGGACAGCACAGTCGGTGGGAACAGAAGAGTAGAAAATTGATTGAAATGGAAGAAATGGAGCTAATAGCAGCTTATGATATTGTGACGTGGAGATTAATCAACGGAACATCTTTTGGCTCAGAGAACTGGGTGGGAGATGATTTTATTCCCTAAAAAGAACACAAGAAAAGTGAGAGGGACGGGGTAGAGGGAAGGACAGCTTACGTTTGAGACTTCACTCTCCATGTGAAGATGGAGAGTAGGCTTAATGTCAGGCTAGATCTAGACCCCTATTTTCTCTGTAAAATGAGATAATTTTAGAAAGCCGCCCAAATCCCCCAGAGCAGGGAGCATGCACTTGGGAAATGTTAGCTGCTGTCACAAAAATCAAAGCACACCCACTGCCCTTGAGCCGAGTCCAGCACCTGGTCCTGCAGCAAGTTTCCAAGACTGAATCTCCACCCAAGAGAGCACTGCCTCAGCTTGTCTCCTGTGGGGCTGCTGGTGGATTCAAACTGCTCACTGCAGTTAGCAGCACAGCATGAAACACCGCACCACCAGGTGTTACAGTTGTTGCCGTCACACGTGGGTCTGCGATCCTGGAAGGGGACACTTGCAGCTTGAACTGTTTGGTTCATCCTGTACCTGTTTGTGAGCTGTTAAAAGGCGGGGAAGCCCCACGTTTTGTGGAGCCTCCACGAATCCCAGGTATGTCCAGCTGCCTCGTCAGCTACCAAGTAGCTTCTGCCCTTCGTTTTCCTCTGAACCGCTTTGATTGGTGTCGGGTTCTGCCACCCTCAGGGGCCTCCCCGTTTGTCAGCATTCTGCTCGTTCTCTTCGCTTCTGCCGCACCGGCCCAGCAGCGACACCATTTCTGCCACGTTCCGTGCAGGGCACGAACCAGCACCCAGAGCTGCTGGGCGTGGTTATACACCTCCAGACGCCGGGGCCTTTGTGTCGCCTGAGTCAACCTCCTTCACAGCCAGTGCTGCACACTGAAACGGTGGCGACGTCCAGGCACCCAGCCGAGGGGTGGTTTGTGGCCAGCTGGAGGAGAGGGCTCTCCGTTGCTTTCTTCTACGGTTAGAGCTGGGAGGCCTGGGCCTTGTGGGTTTGCAGAACAGTAGGGAATGTTTAGCTGTAGGGTCGTCTCCACAGGGGACAGTTAGGATGCATTCCCAGGCCTTGAGCAGGGGGAGCTGATGCACATCACCGTTTTCAGACTGCCAGGCCCGAGAATGAGGGCGTCGGAACGGTTTTCTCTGAAAAGACCCTTTACAGCTTAGGTGGAATGTTGGTTTTGTTTTTAGGTGCCATCGAGTGGACAGCAACCCTATGAACAATGACTCTCAGCCTTGCCCTGTCCTGAGCCAACCTGACCATTAAGACAATAGGGAGATGTGGTGGCCTAGTGGCAAGAAGCTGCACTACAATCCAAGAGGTGTGCTGTTTGAATCCACCAGATGTTCTGCTGGAGAAGGAGGAGCAATCTTCCTGTACCTGTCAGATCCAATTTGACGGTACACCCACAAGAAATAATAAATTTTTTAAAAATCACAAAAGTGTCAACAAAAGATTAATAGTCTAGGAATCGTGACGCTGTTTCAGATTCACCATCCCTGAACATCACTGGGAAGTGGGGAGGGCGTGTGTGGCCTGGGGCCCCTAAAAGGGCTGCTCGTGGAGGAAAACATTTCATGTCCCAAGAATCCGACTCCAAAACAGCCTCAGTCTCCGCCAAGAACACTCTAGAGGCAGCGGACTGTACAATGGCTCAAGACCTCACTGAAGACGCCATCGCCCTGGTTGGGGGATCTCCACGCAGCTGGTACATAACGTCAGGATTGTGCACAGAGACTGACGGACAGAAAGGAGGCAGGCCCTTCGGCTCTGAGTACAGCTCGTTGGAAATTGTCATCTTGACACAGGACGAGGCTGCAGGTGGTGCAGGTATCCTAGGAGTAAGAGGACCGTGGAAGCACCATCCTCCCAGAAACTACTTGATGGACAGTCCTGGTGAGCCACTTAGAATAATCAGTGGGAACCCTCCGGCTCACTTTTCTGCTCCAACACACCTGGGTCCCCACGAAGCTCTAACACCTGGTTTTAAATGGGCTTTTAAAGTCTCTGCTGTCGAATGATTCCGCCTCATGGGAACACTCCACCATTGCTCTAAGCTGTAAATCTTTATGAGACTGCCCATCTTTCTCCCTTGGACCAGCTAGTGGACTCAAACCACTGACCTTTCAGCCAGCAGCCACCAGGGCTCCCTCTGACAGGGCTGGTTCTCACCAGCAGCACTGAGCGCAGGCCACAGCCAGCCCGCGTCTCTCCTTCCCTGCCCTGCGAGTCTCTGAGTACTGGATTTCAGCAAGGTGCTCCCCTTAATTAGGGTCTCGGCCCTTATCATTCCCTCCATCAACCTGAAGAACGCCCCAGCCACTGAGAGACTGCTCTGTTAAAAACTGTCACCCAGAGTTCTGCCTGGGACACCCAAAGCTACTGTCAAGTCCATTCCAACTTGCAGCAACCCCACAGAACCGACTAGAACTGCCTCGTTAGGGATTCCAAGGCTGTAAAACTTTACAGAAACAGCTGCCACATCTCCCTCAGAGCTGAGGGTGGGTTCAAACCCCTGACCTCTCAGCAGTCTAACTCACCAGAGAGCGTCAAGATAGAACCCAATCGACGCTCCATTACATACCAAGGGCTCAGGGATGTTCTTATCTGCATCAGAGAGGATCAAGAGTGAAGTGGAGGGGGGAGGTCTGGTGGCCTAGTGGTAAGGAGCTGCCAACTACAATCCCAGAGGCGCACGGTTCAAATCCACCAGATGCTCTGCCGGGGAAGGAGGGACAATCTCCTCCTGTACCAGTCAGATCTGATTTGACGCTACACTAACACACACACACACACACACACACACACACACAAAATAATAAAAAATTTTAAAAAAATTAAAAAAAAAAAAGAGTGAAGTGGATGGTTTCCAAACATCTCCCTGTTGGAGAAGCCGAACCTTCCTGCTCTCATCTAAAACCCCACAGCCCTGTCCTCCAGACTCACCCCAATCTTGCATTTCTATACAGGACACAGTGCCCACTGGAGCCACACGAAATGCCACCACACATCACATCCTCGCCCAGTGCTCAGAGCCGATGAGCTAAAACGGTGACTGGGAAGAACTATTCTCATTTAACGAAGTATTCTGGATTTTGAGCCTCACCAGCTTTTGATTTCAACAGGAAGTGGTGGTCAAGGAAAAAAGAATTGGGAAACGCCAGGAGAGCTCTGCAATCGGTCAGCTGTGATTTAACCCAAGCAGGGATCTTCACTAAAACCTGCTCTGCTGTGCTTATAATTAAAAATGAGAAACGGATGTGAGAGAGAGCAGTGGATAAATGCAAGAGATTTTTTTCCTTCCAAAATTAGCTTAGTGTATTAATTCAGACAGTCGTCGGTGCATCTGATTGTGTGTTGCAGTAATCTGAGCCATCTGCCCTGGACACTAAGGAGTCCAGCGTTTAATCCAGCTTAGGGCCCCAGTCCGCTCCTCCCCACGGCCTGTCCTTGAACAGCTGACACCGAGTGGAGAGGCCTCCGCTGTTAGCTGCCGCTCAGGGCCAAAGCCCTCAGTCCTTTCGGGGTTTGGTTTTGCTTTGCAGGTTCAGTCTGAGTTGAGAATTTGATTTTTTTTCTGGGGCAGGAGCAATGGCTTTCTTTGTGAAAAGTATGATCAGTAACCAGGTGAAGAACTTGGGACTTGGTGGTGGGTCCGAGGAAAAAAGTGAAGAAGGCAAACCGTCCGACCCGGCGGCTGTTCACGGCATGACCAGAGAGGAGTACGAGGAGTACCAGAAGCAGATGATAGAGGAGAAGTGAGTACAGGGCCTCGTTTTGCTTTAGGAGCAAAAGGCATTCAGCCAGCAGTTTCCCATAATCCCCCACTGTGTGTATCCCAGGTAGATGATGCCTTTTCTCTTGCTCTCTCTTAACATTGCTTTCTATGAAGTGAACCATCTCCCAGCCTCAGTAGCTGCTGTGTGCTCCCTGTATGAACAAAGGTGGTAAATGGAAAAAAGATTCACAGTGTCCTTCTCAAGGCAGCTGGCCACTTCCTGGTCTGGGCCTACATTGATCACGGCTGTTTTAGTTCATATGAAACACTGGGAGTCTTTACCTCTCTTTATAGTCTTCCTGGCAAGTAGAAAGCTTTCAAAATAGAAGAATTAGGACTTCACAAGCTGAAGACAGCCTTTAAGGTCAGATGCGGGTACAGGCAAGGAAGACTGACCTTGGAGGGGCCAGCAAGCTTGTTACTGGTCGTAGAAACACTAGATAATGTTTAGTTGGATGGCATGGTGAAGGCAATTACAATGTTGCTGTTGTTTTAAAAAGTAAAAGCAGAATTGTTTTATGTTGTAAACACTATCTTTGAAAGAGGAGACCACTTTGTTTGGGGGGTGGAATAAAAGGAACAAATAATACAACTTCCTAATTTTGAGTATGAGGTAACTTGTGGTTGCTGTGATGCTAAACACTGTGACCCTGATGTGCCAAATGTGTTAATGGTTACCCATGGTGGACAGTGTTTGGTGGCACTCCCCAATTAAAACAAGCTTGGAAACAGGAGTGGCATCCATTTCCATAATAGCTTGTCTCTGGAAACCCTATGAACTTGGAGAAATGAAGAAAGTTATACAAGTGTTCAGGTCTTTCATTCATAGGGCTGCTGTGAGTCGTCTATGACTCGATGGCACTTAACAACAACAGCAACAACAACAATTTTGAGTATGTAAAGAAAATTCAGAAAAATACAACAGGACAAGTATGTCCTAAGATTCAGCTTCCCAAAGCCTGTGAATGATTGTGAGGCCTGCTTTGGACCAAAATTCTAAATATACACAAAAGTACTTATATATGTCTATACACAATGTGTCCTTTGTAATATGTAAAATTGACAGTTAACATGTTTCTGTATTTGCTGATGAGCAAGTAAGTAGATTTAAAAGCCAACTCAAACTCATTGCCATCAAGTTGGAGCCGACTCATAGCTGATCCTCTGGTGGTTTTCACAGGCTGTAAATCATGTGAGGTTGTCCAAGCAGCTGACAGATAGATGCCTACATATACAGGTAACTACTTTTCAGTGCATCTCAGGCGTTATTAGACTCCACTCCTAAACATTGCAGCCATTACTTCCAAAAAATAAGGACATTCTCGTGGCTACATAAGATGTAATAAGCATGCTCAACAATTTATGTTGGTATTGTGAATGTGCATATTCCAAACAATATTTCACTGCTGAAGATTGAGCCTTAAAAGAAGGTAATCAAGAAGTAAGTTTTAACGGCTTAAGGTCAAGTGAATGAAAGAGTCGTAATAGTCAACTGAGAATTGAAGTTTGCTTCTGGAGGGTAAACGTCTGTCATCTATTACAAATGAAAAGTATTCCTTTTTTGCCACCAACACCTTTTTTTTTTGCCTTTTCATTAGTTTATTTACAAAATTCTAATACAAATTTGAACAAATTCTTTCAATCTTTCTCACCACCGCCCATCAAATTTTACAACCCAATGATTAATCCCCTCTTCCTCCTGCACATCCATATCCCTCTGCTTCCAGCCTCTCCCACCCCTCCTGGATCCTTATACTCATTCTTACAGTAACGGTCTCCACCAACACCTTTTGCTCATGATCAATTACATAACAGTTGCTTAAATCCTGTGTAAGATGATTATAGGTGGAAAGGTTAAGGACTTGGGAGGAACTAAAAAAGCTCAGACCTGCATTTAATGGAAAGTGCGCTGTGTGTCTGAACGAAGGTTTCTGTGTCCGTGTTGTGGTTTATACGCTGCCTTTAATATTTTCTGCTGGGAAGAGACACACAGTCCCCACATACATGAAACTGCTAAGATAAGACTCCAGGCAGAAGCAGCAGCACATCTTGAATACTAGCTTGTTCAGCCTATGGCATGAGAGTTCACGCCATGCCTGTAAGCCGTACAGGAAGAAGAGGGATCATGAATAAGCTCGAACAATTGCACCAAATGCTCCAAGTTTAAATGGACTAAAGAAAATGTTCAGAAATTTAGTCTACCCCTCGATCAGGTAAAACATCCTTTACTCCACCTAGGCAATAACGATGATTGCAGAGAGGGCATCTGTTTGATTACCGAATGCCCTAGTTTTCCTTCATTTTGTATCTGGAGAGATCACAGCTCAAAATGGTCAAATGCTGTGGTCAATCAGTGGATTGGGTTATTTGCCAACTAATCGGCTTTTTATGCATGTAAAGATATTCTTAATCTCTGTGGTCACCCAATTTGAAAACTTAGGGCAAAACCATGGGTTCAACTTGTTTCCTCATGGCTACAGAGGGGCAGTGCTCCCAGCGTGTTGCCTGAGTTGTCAAAGGAGTCATCATCTATAACGAACATATAAAAGTAGCCCGCAAAAATGGTTCGTCACATCTCACATGTACAGAAAGGCTACATGGTATTTTTTTTCTATGTCATTAAGTTGAACATGACTCATAGTGACCCCGTGAACAACAAATCGGAACCCTGTGCTCACTATACCATTCTCACCATCTCCAGCACACCTGGGCCCATTGCTGCAGTCACTGTGTCAATCCGTCAAGCTTCCTCTCCTTCACTGACCCTCCACCTTTCCAAGTATGATGTCCCTTTCCAAGGACTAGCCGCTCCTGACAACACACCCAAAGCATGTGAGATGAAGCTTCACTGTCCTTGCCTCTAAAGAACACTCTAGCTGCACTTTTACCAAGACAAAGCTATTTGTCGTTTTGTCAGTCCATGGGATAGTCAGTTCTCTTCCCCAAGACCCCAACTCAGATCCATCAATTCTTCTGTCATCCTTATTAATTACCCAATTCTCACATGCATAGCAGGGGATTGGAAAGATTATTGCTTGAATCAGGTGCACCTTAGTCTTTAAACTGACATCATTGCTCCTAAGGACTTTGGTGAGATCCCATGGTGGCAGACTTATCTAAAGCTTATGTAATTATTCCAAGGAACTTTAACCATCTCTCTGGCTGAATTTCAGCCAAACAATAAATAGGGCTCTAGAGTGAACAGTAACATGAGAGAGGTATCCATGACAGGAGTCAGCCATACAAAATCAAAGGGGCAGCAGGAATAAAGCTCAGGGGGCAGAAAAGGGTAGGGTAGAAGGATGAATGGAAGCAAGAATCACAGGGAGGAAGGAGGAGGAATGTGGTTGCATTGTGGGTGTCATAATGTTATAAAACAAAGTGTATGAAGGGGGGGAGTGTGAAGCCAAAGTTTAGGTTTTGTAAAACTGGGTGGTTTTTTTTAAAGGTATTTTTTTTAAATAAAAGGATAATTTTTGCAAATGAAAGCTGCCTAAATTCATCTCTGTTACTTGAGAAAGCTGTAAGAGTGACTCAAATTGGTGAGCTCTGATGGCCTAGTGGTGAGAAGCTGCACTGCAATCCCAGAGGTACACAGTTCAAATCCACCGGATCCTCTGCTGGAGGAGGAACAATCTTTTCCTGTACCAATCAGATCCGATTTGATGGTACACACTCAAAAATAATAATAAAAAGAACAATTTAAAAAAGCCTGACTGATTCAAATTATAAACCAAAAATGCGTGCCCAGCTGGACATGCTGCTGCACACTTTACTCCACATCTGGATTTAGATTTTAAAAAATCACTACTGGTAACATTAGTGCTGAAAGAGATCTATATCAGAACAGAACACTTAGGAAGGTATAAACTGAATGACAGTCTAGCCTCTATTTTTCTGTTACATTGAGCAGTCCCTTTATCTAAGTTAAGGGGCACTGATTGCTATGGGAACATTTTTCACTGACTCTGAACTTTGTTTATTTGGCGGTATTTTTGGACCTCTACTGGGTGTTAGAGGAGAAAATGCTACGGAGCAGTTCTGCTCTGACACATGGGTGTTATATGTTGGAATCGGTTCAGTGACAGCAGCATGAAGTGCTGGCACAGTGAGTGATATCCTGAAATGGAAGATAGGATAGTCTTGTCTGCAGGATTTACATTCTGCTTGGGAAAACTAGTAGTTTGTAAACTGGCTCACCAGTATTTTCTAAAACAAAAGTTTCAAAAATACTTTGAGCCAATGGCACCATCTTTGTGTATGTATATTCTCTCCTTGAAGAATATTTTTTTATATACTCTGGCATCTTGGTTTCAAAATAACCAATGCAAAATGAAAATTTAGTGGTTTGACTTCACCAGCTGCTCTGAAAGGAGCTGCACTACTTCCAAAAATATTGAAAGCTTTAGAAACCCAATGGGGTAGTTGTACTCTTTCCTTCATGGCCAGAATTGACTCCGTGTAGTGAATGGAGTTGGATATGAACTCTAGAATGCTACTTCTGACACATCAAAATATGTAAAAATCCTGCAGACCAATAGGTAAATCAGGACCTAAAAGAGCTGAGCCTGTACTTAGTACATCTGAATTGAATTAACAAATGGAACAATTCAGTTTATACAGTTATTTAGTCAAAGGTACCAAAATAATCCAACAGTAAAAAGAAAAGTCCTTTCGACTAATGGTTTTGAAACAAATAGAAAACACTGACGTTGGACCCCTACCTCACACCCTATACATTCATTTGTATCAATTACAGACCTAAACATACAACTAATATTAAAAGGCTTCTAGAAAATAACCAGATGATTCCTCTGTAACTTCCAAAGTGGAGAAAAAAATTTTAAATAAGACCCAGAAAACAGTAACAATATATTTTTATGATATATTGTGGTTGTTGTTGGGTGCTGTCAAGTTGGCTATGATTTAGAGGGACCCTCTGGACAACAGATCTGAATCTGGCCTTCTCCTGTGCCATCCTCAGTTCTCTGCCATGCTCAAGCTCACAGTCAAACCATCTAGATGAGGGTACCCTATCTTTTGTTGACCCCATACCTTTCCCACCCTGATGCCTTTTTCCAGGGACTGGCCCTCCTGACAACATGCCCCCGAAATAGGTGAGATGAAGTCTCACCGTCCTTGCCTCTAAGGAGTACTCTGGTTACACTTCCTCCAAGACAGATTTCTTGATTCTTTTGAAGTCCATGGTATAGTCAAAACTCTTCGCCAACACCACAGGTGAAAGAATAATGATAAATTAGACTCCATCAAACTTAGAACTGCATGCTTATTAAAAAACACCATAAAAAATGAACAGGTAAGCCACAGACTGAGAGCAATGATGTGTGAAATGTTTCTCTGAAGAAGGACAGGAATCTAGTTTAGATAAAGAACACACAATAAAATGTACACACAAAAATGGGTCTAAGAGGGGAGCTCTGGTGGCCTAGTGGCAAGGAGCTGCAACTACAATCCCAGAGGCGCAAGGTTCAAATCCACCAGATGCTCTGCCGGGAAAGGAGGGACAATCTCCTCCTGTACCAGTCAGATCTGATTTGATGGTACACACACACACACTCACACACACACACACACACACACACACACACACACGGGTCTAAGAATTGAGCAAACACTTCACAACAGTATACAAGTGACCAATTGTTACTACTGGTGTTAGGTGGCCTTAAGTCAACTACAACTCATAGCAATCCTGTAAACATAAATGGAAACCTTGTCCTATCTGAGTCATCCTCACAATTTTTTCCAAGTAAAATGAAATCATTGATCGTTTCTGTATTTTGCCTGTTAGTCCAGTGTGGAGAACTTCTGTTTTCGTAATGCTGAGCTGTGTAATTCATATTGAAGGCTATAGTCTTTGATCTTCAGAAAGTGCTTCAAGTCTTCACTTTCTGTAAAGGAAGATTGTGTCATCTGCATACACAGGTAGCTGATGAATCTTCCTCCAATCCCGAGGCCACGTTCTTCTTCATGTAGTCCAGCTTCTCAAACTATTTATGCAGCATCCAGATTGAATAGGTGCACACCTATCCTGATTTTAAACCATGCAGTGTTCCCTTGCTTTGTTTGAACAACTCTATAGGCTTTGCATGAGCACCATTAACTGTTCTGAAGTTCTCATTCTTCTCAATGTTATGTTGTTGTTGTGTGATGTCATGTCACCTGTAACTCTAGCGATCCTAGGTACATGACTCTGAACCCTGCTCTATCCTGAGCCAACCTTCTTGTCTCTGACACACCTACACCCATTACCCCGGTCACTGAGTCAATCCATCTCATCCAGGGTTTTACTCTCTTTTGCTGTCTGTCTGCCTACCCTCCCAAGCATGACATCCCTCTCCAAGGACTTGTCTCTCCTTGCAACATGCCCAAAGAACATCAGACGTAGCTTCAGAATCCTTGCCTCCATAGAAGAGCCTGGTTTCAACCTCTCCAGGATGAACCTGTTTGTTCTCCTAATGGTCCATGATATATTCAATATTTTTCTCCAACACCACAGCTCAAAGGCATTAATTCCTCTGTTGTCTTTATTCACAAACTAATTCTCAGATGTATAGCAAGTGATTGCAAATACCACGGCCTGAATCAGGTGCACCTCAATCTTCAAACTGACATCATTACTCTTCAGTAATTTAGAGAGGTCCCTGACAGCTGACTTCCCTAAAGCTGCACATATTTTAATTTTCTCAACCAAGGGTGTTGATTGTGGATCTGAATAAGATGAAATAATGGACAATTTTATGTTTTCTCCATCTATCATGATGTTGCATAATGGCCCAGTGGTGGCCATTTTTTTCCTTGATATTGAAGTGTAATCCATACTGAAGAATGTAGACTTTGATCTTTCACAGCAGGTACTTAAGCCCCCCTGACTTTCAGCAAGCAAGGTTGTACCATCTGTGTAATGCAGATTGTTGATGAACTTTCCTCTGATCCTGATGTCACATTCTTCTTCATAAACTCCAGTTTCTTGAATTATTTGTTCAGTCTAGAGATTAAACAGGTGTGGAGAGATAATACAGCCCTGATACACGCCTTTCTTTATTTTAACGGTGATGCAATAGAATGCAGAAATTGTTGAACAGTATCATTAATAGCAAATACAAGTGAAATCTTGCTGAAGATTATTAATAAACAGAGAGAAAAAAATCAATAACTCCAAGCAGCTAGAACAGTACATCAACAGAGAACTGCCTAAGATGCATCCTGGATTTAGAGGAGGCCATGGCACCAGGGATATCATTGCTGATGTCAGATGGATCTTGGCTGAAAGGAAGGAGTCTCAGAAAGACACCTACTTGTGATTTATTGATTGTGCAAAGGCATTTGACTGAGTGGACCATAACAGATTGTGACTAACATTCAGAAGAATGGGAATCCCACAACACTTAATTGTGCTCATGCAAAACCTAGACCAGGAAACTAGTGTCCAAACAGAGCAAAGGAACACTGCGTGGTTAAAATTATTAGGTTAGTAATAATTCACTAACAGCTTAACAGTGGTGAAACACTGTTGTTTGGCTGCTGAGCTAAAGGTCAACAGTTTGAATTCCCCCAGCCACTCTATAGGAGAAAGATGTCACAATATGTTTCCATAATTATTTCAGCCTTGAAAACCTCACGGGTCAGCCAGACTCTGTCCTGGGGGGTCACTGTGAGGTGATCTTTTGATTCATCCAGTACAAACCATTTGTGCTACCACATGTTAGAAATTAATGAATCCACCTGAAATGGAAAATGAAACTTCTTGTAAGGATACAGGATGCTTCCCCTAACCCATGAGTAGAAAGCCCACTGGGCTGCGGGTAAAGGGGCATCTAAGCCAGGTGCCAGGAGGCTGTTGGGAAGGACACCCTCTTTTCCTATCACTTCCCATAACCCCCATCTCTGCTTGGCTGCCTCTCTTCCTTAGCCACCAGCTCCATCTCTCTGTCACCCAGACCACAGGCAGGACAGGTGGAGAGGAAGCCTTGCTTCCCATTCAACCTGTACCACTTACAGCCATGCTGTCCATTTCTGTCTTTCTCCCAGGGCCAAATTTCCAAAGACTAAATGGCAGTGTGGATTGACACCTTGACTCTAGTGTGTCAGGAAGTGTGAGGATGGCACAGGATAGGACAGGGTTCAGGTCTGTTATTCATAGGGTCTCTATGGGTCATACTGGACAACACTTAACAACAACAAAACAGAGGGCAGTGCCTAGCCTGGTCCAGTCCTACACAACCAGCAGGAAGGGCCATGGCCATCAATTTAGCTGTGGGCAGTTGCGAGGTGTTGGGGAAAACTTACTGAAAACAGAATCTACCCCAACCCAGAAACTGCTTTCATAAAAACAGAAGTGACGTTTTCTTGTTCAATAAGCTTTCAGTCACAGTCTGATATACAGCAACACCTCTGCTGAGAAGACTGCAAAGACGGAAAGACGTGACTCCTTAGAGCTGGGTACAGCCTTCAGACGGTGTTCCTGGATAAAACTGCATGATAGTCTTTGGCAGGAAATGGGGAGGTTCGCTTGTCTCCTCCCACGAGGCAGGGCTGAGGTCTTCCCTGAGGATCACATCTGAGATGGGGTGGCGCCTGGGTCCTTGAGGAAACATTCTTTTTAAAGCAAAAAAGAATTTACAATACATTTTCTACGGTGATAGAACAAGTGAGGAGGGAAACGTGCCTCCAAGCAGAAGAATGGAAACGTGATTTTCAATTTGCAGTGATCAGATGTTGAGTGAGGGCTAGGTTCAAGGGGGCATAAGCACTCAGCTGCCCTGGGAAGTGTCATCCGGGTGTCCTGCATGGAGGAGGCACTGTGATGTCCTGAGTGCTACCTCCTTATGAGAGCCTTTAACTTGTCTTCCTTAACTTTCAGGATGGAAAGAGACGCTGCATTTACACAAAAAAAGGCAGAGAGGGCATGCCTGAGAGTTCATCTGCGAGAGAAATACAGACTTCCAAAGGTAAGAGGCGCTTAACACAGAGCAACAATGGTGTCCTGATGGATATGAGCTGAGCGGAGAGGAGCTGACCGTCGGCAAAGAGCCACCTTCATGAATGTGTGTGTGCATATGCCGGAGCCACATCCACTTCCTAACCAATAGGCCTCCAGAAACTCCGTCAACTTTGGTAAATGTCAACAGCTGTAGAGGGGCCTTTTGTTCATAGTGTCGCTATGAGTCATGCTCGACTTGAAGACAATCAACAGTAACGCAGAGGAACGATGGTTGGTGTCCTAATCAATAGGAATAAGGAGGAGCTGACCATCAGCAAAGGGTTACAGTGACGAACGTGTGTGTGCACGTATTTATAGATGTGTAGTAAGTGTGTATGTATGTACTGTGTCAGATGACGAGGTTACACAGGATAGGGCAGGGGTCAGGCTGTTCATAGGGTCATTACGAGCTGTGCTTGATGGCTCCTAACAACAACAAAAATAACAACATACATGTATATAATAAATAAATACATATGGATCTCTGGTGGCCTAATGGTAAGAAAGCTGCACTGCAATCCCAAAGGTGTGTGGTTTGAATCCACAAGCTGCTCTTGGGAGAAGAATGGACAATGTCCTCCTGTGCAATTTACTGCTTCTGAAAACCCACTGGAGGGTCAGCTGTGGATTGGTTCCAACTCTACAGCTACCTACAACTGCATACATATAATAATAATTAATAATAATAATTATAATTATAATTATAATATATACATGTGCATGTGTATATTATATATACAACTATAGAATAAATATCTGATGGCCTAGTGGCAAGAAGCTGCACTGTAATCCCAAAGGCACAGGGTTTGAGGCCACCAGCTGCTCCACAGGAGAAAGATGGGCAATCTCCTTCTATGTGATTAACTGCTTCTGGAAAACCACCAGAGGGTCAGCTATGGGTCAGTTCCCACTCTACGGTACACAACAACAATATAACAAACACAGATTTTATATATATATATATACTAGCACATATTTTGGTCTGATTTTTAATTGAGCTCTCTGATATATGCAGCAAGTATTGAACTGAGAGTTCGTACAGACCCAATCCTAGTCTTCAACCTCTATGCATTTCCATTTCTTCTCTCAGCCGTTATTGTCTTCTCTAACAGAGGTCCCACATACAGATTAAAAAGGTATGAAGATAGGCTGTATCCCTGGCGTACACCTTTCTTGATTTTGAAACATGCAGTGTTTCCCTGCTCTGTTCTGATGACTGCCTCTTTCCAAGCGTAGGTTTTATATGAACATGATTAAGTGTTCCAGGATTCCCATTCTTCTCAAGGTCAGCCACAATTTGTTGTGATCCATATAGATAAATGCTTCTGCATAGTCAACAACACAGAGATAGACATTCCTCTGGTATCTCTGCTTTCAGCTAAGATCCATCCAGCATTGACCAGAATATCCCTAATACCACGGCCTCTTCTAAACCCAGCCTGCTCATCTGGCGGTTCTCTGTTGAAGGGCTACTGCAGGCGCTTTTGGATAAGCTTCAGCAGAATCTCACTTGTGTGTGATAGTAATGATATTGTTATATAATTTTCACGCTCTGTCAGATCCCCTTTTTGGGGGGAATAGATATGGATCTCTTCCCGTCATTTGGCCAGGTGGTTATCCTCCAGTGCAACCCTCTAGTGACTAAGCCGCTGAGCTCCCTCGTCTCAGTCATTGGAAGATGCTGTAACAGAAACGCCACACGTCAAGGGCAGTAACAAATAGAAATGCATTTTCTCACAGGTTAGAAGGCTGGAAGTCTGAATTCAGAGTGCGGGCTTCAGGGATGGCTTTCTCTCCTACAGGGAAAGGTCTTTATCTCTTTTCAGCTTCTGTTTCTTGGTTCCTCATGTGATGGGGCATCTTCCTTCTCTTATCATGTTCCCTAACCCTAATCCTAACCCCCTCCCCTACTTGCTTAATTGGCTCTTTTATATCTCAGAAGAAACTGGCTTAAGGCACAGTGTACACTCATTGCAATTCTGCCTCAATAGCATAAAAAGGATGTCCTTTCTCCAAATGAAGAAGACCAGGGAAGTCTGGCTCCTAACCAGTAGGTCAGCAGTTCAAAACCACCAGCCTTGGAGACCCCATGAAAGGTCTCTGTGAATTTAGGCCTGGCTTGATAGCGGTGGATAGTGGGTATTCTCCTATGTATAGTAGGACTTACAGAACATACGTAGGGGCAAGGGACACAATTCAACCCATGTTTTTGTTAGGAGTTGACTACAATTCATTTCAAGCCCATGAAAAATGAGATCTGAACCTGGCCCTCGCCAGCACCATTCTCACCCTCTGACACGCTCAAGCTCAGTCCTTGGGTCAATCTGGCGGAGGGTCTTCCTCTCCTTCACTAACCCTTCAACCTTTCCAAGCATGATGTCATTTTCCAAGGACTAGCCCCTCCTGACAAAACACCCAAAGTTCGTGAGATGAAGTTTCAGCCTCCTTGCCTCTGAGGAGAACCCCGGCTATACTTCCTTCAAGTCAAATCTGTTCTGCACGCGGTTTGTGGGCCACTCAGTTCTCTTCGCCAACACCACAACTCAAAGGCATCAGTTCTTCTTCAGTCGTCCTTATCAGTTGTCCAACTTTCAGATGCATACGAAGCACTTAAAAATGTTTAGGCATTATACATACGACAACGGCCCAGGATAAGAGGCATACTACAAAGAGGACTAGAGATGGGAGAGGTAATTGTGCAACAATGAGTGGGTATTTAAAAGAAAAAGTGAGCTGGGGAGAGGTGGGACAGGTAAAATGTGCAATAGTGTATAAATGAAAATCTAACTTTTCTGTAAACTTTCATTAAAATAAAAATTAAAATGAAAAAAAATTATTTGAAAAAGAATGGCATGGCTTGGGTTGGGCATTCTTTAGTTATAAATATAAACTGATTCAATCCATAACCAACACAGCAGGTCTCCTGATCAGGAAGTACCTGAGGGCCCCCACCTTTTGTTATTTTGGAGATGAAGCGGTGGTGTGGTCACTACCCCACACAGTCTTACCTGCCGAGCTGCCTTTGAGGGTGAACACCTGGAGTCTTGGGTTGTGTCCACAGTTCATGAGAAGAGGCTGTATGTAAAGTGACCCAGGATAACCTGCTTCAATGCTGTATGTGGTGGTGACAAGACCTACACCTTGTCCCTGTGGTCCACCTTCTCTGTCTCCACCCCACACACACACCTGGAGATCACCTTGTCATCAGGTGTTCACTTCCCATTCCCAAAGTGCATCCTTCCTTTGAGAACATCCCCTACTTGTAGAAGACAAAGACCCTCTGTGTCCCTAACCTTTCCCAGGTGTGGACACCATTTCCAGTCGGGCTAGATGGTTTAGAAAGCTGCATCAGGTTCCCTCAAGAGCTGATTCCCGAAGCTCCAGGCACTAGGCGAAGGGAGAGGACCTGTGTCATCCAGAGGCCACTGTAAAATCACCTAAATTTAGGGGAAGTCAAGTACAGAGACATCAAGACACCTAAGTTCTGCTCTCAGTACAGACCAAGTCTTACTCGAGCTTAAATTAATTTCATTTGCAATCAGGAAATTCTGCAAAGAATGCCCTGGCTTTCTGCCCCATCCGCTTTTTCAGGTTTAATGCTCCCCCTCTCCCGCTGTGCTTGCTTTGTGGAGGGTGACATTTCCAAACACTGTCCTCTGACTCTCCCTGTCTGCTGAGTTTCCTGCCCCGCCAGCATGACCCTGGCTGGCTGAGGTCCTCGTGCAGGAAGCTGGCTCAGACTCCACTCCTAAACCCCACTCCTGCCCCTGCCCCTCAGATCCAGTCTGGAATGAAGCAGAAATGAAACCTACATGCTGACCAACAGCTTGGCAACAGAGCGATGTTTGAGGCTTTCTTTTTGAGAACTTTGAGAAATGTTATTCATTGTTTCAGTGTCATTTCTTGGAGATGTAGAAAGGGTTTCAATGCTGGCTCTACCATTCTGATGATGTAATCCTAAGGGCCTTTCTGCATAATTTGTTTCTCTGAATATCCTTGTTATATTATTCTGGTTACACTGTCAGTCCAGAGGCAGGCAGCTTGAATCCCCCAGCTGCTTTGAGGGGACAGATGGACAGTCTCCTCCCAGCTGAAGGACAGTCTCTAGGACACTCACTGGAGAGTGAGCTGTGAGTCAAGTGCAAGTCGATGACAATGAGCAAATTCTTTCTACAATAAAAGTCACTGCTGTTGGGTCAGTTCTGACCCACTGAAACCCCCACTGATTTTCCAAAACTGTAAATCCTTACAGTAGAAGATTTCCCATCTTTCTCCCATGGAGCAGCTGGTGGATTTGAACTTCCTGCCTCTAAATATCACACACTACACAAGGGCTCCCTGTCTTATATATTTTTGTGGTTGTTGTGTGCTGTTGAGTCAGAACCAACCCATAGCTGACTGACCCTCCAGTGAGTTTTCAGAGGCATAAATTGCATGAAAGGAGATTGCCCATACTTCTCACTCAGAGCAGCTGGTGGACTTGAACCACATACCTTTATGTTTGAATATAGACGTCACTATATATTACTTTGAGTTGTGGTGCAGGCGAAGAGTATCGAACATACCATGGACCACCAGGAGAACAAACAGGTCTGTCTTGGAGAAGATGAAAACAATTTCTCCCTAGAGGCAAGGATTTTGAAGCTCCATCTCACATACTTTGGGTACTTGGCCAGGAGGGACCAGTCCTTGAACATCATGCTTGGATGGGTGGAGGGACAGAGCAGGAGAGGAAGACCTTGGATGAGACGGATTGATGACCAGTGATTGAGGCTAAGGGATTAGGTGTGTCAGAGTCAGTGAGGCTTGGCTCAGGATAGGGCAGGCTTCAGAGCTGTTATACATAGGATCGCTAAGAGTCACAGGCGACTCAATGGCATATAACAACATATATTAGTACATAGTGGTTGTCATTTGCTGTCAATTCAGTACTGACTTATGGGGATCTATTGAGTGTGTAGTAGAACT